TCTTGTTTGTTCTTTTGACCTAAAATTTCGCATGATTCTTCTTAACAATGTCTAATTTTAATATCTAGACAAATATCCTTCTATTTGTTACAGATACAGTAACTAAATTTTTCTTGGAATGAAAACTGACAATGCACAGCCACTTGAAAATGGATTGATTTTTTTAGTACAAGTATTTTTTTTTTATACTTGCGCTAAAAACTGTTATACAGTTATAGAGAAACAAGTTACCCCAATTTTGTAATGCATAGCTTTTTAATATTTTATCAGAATAACTGGTTAAAAAATTGCCACTGTAGGGTGTTTTTACAGTTTGCAGTCACGACTGTAGACTAGACAGTGATGGCTGGCTTATTGCCAGTCAATGATGAGGTTTATGGCAGACTTTTATTAAAATTTTTGCTTTGTTCTAATAAACTGTATATGGCTTGTTTATTCAGCATAATGCTTGTCAATTTCAACTGGTCGGTGGAGCAATGACCTCGCTTCTTGCAGGTCAGTGTTTGATTCTGGAAGGTCCAAGTGGTTGTGCACTGTTCCATCACTGCATCCTCATATCTCGGCTCCTTGTCTAAATATCCGAACTTAGTCATACTGGCTTAGAACTTTTTCCAAACATTGCCTGTTTTACCCAACGTATGTCTCCAAGTCCTGCCCTCTTTCAGGGGCTAGTTAACTAAAGGCTACAGATGTGATGTTCATTCAAAATGCACTTACTGGATATTTAAGTAATCATGATAAGAATCTCTAAGAGTGAAATTTTGGCTTATTACAGTACAAGGTCAAACAGTTTACTTACACAAGATACAAAAAACTATTAGGCCAAAACTGACATGTGAATACTGTTGAACTTTACAAATGGGAATTGCCCAGAGTTTATATTTTTGTCCTCTGTATTTCAAAAAGTGGTGGTTGTCAGTTCCATAATGCATGCCATCAATGAATTTTAATTTATTTAATCCATGATATAAGTTGTTTTGCCTTCCATCATACAAAAGTTAATATTGTACTATTATGAAACATTACTTCAGTGGGAAAGCATGAACTATCAAAAACTTAATACATGTGAGAGTTACCATTATTGTGCTCCCTAAACCAATCTTTATTACAATGTACAGTTCCCCGTACTCAATAAATATTTATTTTTGTTCTGCTTTCTTTTTTATCCTAGATTACTGTCAGATCATGGTCTGAAAGGTTTTGTGACAACTAGGATGTGCATTTATTAATGGTGTGATACAGTATTTTGTTCCCCTCAAGAGTGATGCCTTGTGGTGAGGGGGCTCATGACTGAGGTTGAGTGGGGTTGACTCGGTCTCTTCTCAGGATGTTGTGTGACCCCCACATTCCAGATTTTTGCCTTGTCATGATGTGGGGGCTTACATACTGGTGAGGGTTGCTTTGGCCCCCCCTCTCTGGGTCCTTGTGCATAAGAAATTGCTGTACATTGAACATAAAGATGTTGTACGGGTTAACTTACCACCCACAGGAATGGTTGCCCTTGGAGGATAACTAGGTGTCCAGGATGGGATGAGGAGGAGAGAGGTCTTTGCCAAAGTATGGCAAAAAAAGGGGCAGGACACTGCTTGGAGCGACACACCCCTTTTCCTGCACTGGCCAGTACTGTCTTCCTTACTGCCCTGATAGGTGGAATCCCTTGGTTCAGAGATCAAAACTGTTGAAAATGCTATATGGAAACCGAACTGACTAGACTTGTGGGGCGGGTGATCAGGTTCCCCCCCTTGTCGACCAGCGATAGAAGATCGGGCTCCTTAGTCCCGGCTATGTTGGGCACAGACGAGGCTTCATCGTTAACTCCCAACTTATGCTCTGTTTTCCCCTCTCAATTCCGTGGTAGGGTTGAGCCCCAAAGCCCCAGTGGTCACCACCTTGTCACCTGGAGTGGCTGCATCTTTTGTCGTGACAACGGTGCCTTTTATTCCTCTCCTTAATGGGGGGAACTCTGCACCATAGCCACACTCAAACATGCATGATTCCTTCCAATACCTACCTTGTAAAGGTTCTGGGGATCAACGGCCCGGTCTCCCACCAGGGGTCCGTCTAATTACCACAAGCTACCACAAACTACACAAACTTCAGAAAGCTTCCTGGCAATACGTTAGTAATGAATAAATATGATATATTAAGTTAGGCTGACCTAACCTAACCTATCCTAACCTGTCCTAACCTGACCTAACCTAACCTAACCGAAGCTTGGATCGTCGATTTGATTTGGCGTCACCAGCTTTTTATTTTCGTCTAATTTCTTTATAAAAAGATACTTTTTCAGATTAAAATTATGTTTTTTCGTGTTGTACATTCAGCACCAACATTATAATGAGTAAATATATCATATTTATTCATTACTAACGTATTGCCAGGAAGCTTTCTGAAGTTTGTGTAGTTTGTGGTAGCTTGTGGTAATTAGACGGACCGCCCACGAGGCTTCCCGCATTCAAGACTGTCTGCCTTCCACGGTTTGTTTGGCCCTGCGTGTGGCGTAAGTATTTTAATCATTGTCATGATGAGCATATGTGACCTGATGAATTCTGATGACACATCCATAAGCACCTAGTTGAGTGTAGATACCTATGTTACCCCCTAATCACACCCGAACTGCGGCCCCTTCTCAAGAGGCAGCTACTTTATCCTGCATTGGTAAGAACCCAGTTCGAGGTCTCCTAAAATACCCAGTTAAATGCCAGCATTATCTCAACCATTTTCTGCATGTTGTGACTGCAAACAGGAACTTAAAGGACTGCTATGAGGATATTAAAAATATCCTCGAGACCCAGTGTTATTCTATCCTCCAGATTGATGCATTTGTTCCGAACCTTAATGGAATCTGACCCATCTATCAATCAGGTCAACCCATGTGTTGCGTTTCCAAAAGGGTCGCCCATTTTAGAATCGGTGAACGCCCTAGTAATATTGTTGAAAACATCTTAATAACTTATTAAACCAAAGATCTTTTTATGTCAGAAGAACGGCAGAAACTGGATCTATATATGAAAACTCTTTCAGGACAAAATTTAAAGTAAAACTAAAGATATTTGTAGTTGTATAAAAGTTGCATTTTTCATCGGTCGTAGAGCCGGAAATCCGCAATATTCATCTCGGAACAATGCTTATTTCACGCAGAATCGTTAATAAACGTAAGATTTTTATACGTCTCAAGAAAGATAGAAACATAATCTTCATTTTAAATGCCTTACCATGGGCATATTCGTATTTAAAGCGAAGATACGTGTATTTTTCTAATCGGCGAGCTCCGATCCCGCACTGATCGAGCAACGGAGTAACTCTCTCAGAACAATGCTTATTTCACGTAAATTCGTTAATAAACGCAAATGTTTTTATATGTGTTGAGAAAGATAGAAATATAAGCTTCATTTTAAATACTTTACCATAGATATATATAAAGTTCTAATGAAGATACATGTGTTTTAATAATCGCCGAGCTCCGACCCCGCACAGACTGATCGACAGAGCAACTCTCTCTCAGAACAATGCTTATTTCACGTAAATTCATTAATACACATATGTTTTATATGTCTCAAGAAAGATAGAAATAAGCTTCATTTTAAATACTTTAACATAGACATATATAAAGCTCAAGTGAAGATGCATACGTTTTTATAGTGGCATTCAGTAGCTTGTCGGTCATGGAATGCAGAAGTCTACGCACTTGCCAATATAGTGTGTAATTAACAAAGATACGCTTATTAAGCCTAAAATATTATATGCCTTCAGAAAGACAGATATGCTCGTTATTGTGAGTGCACCAAAGGAAATATATCTTGGAGGACAAAGATATATCAATTCTAAAATAAGTTTAGACTCTCGCTCGGGCGAGAGATAGCGCGACTCTCGCCCCATCTATTGGAGATTCTGTTCACCTAATGACCCAAAGCTACTCAAAGCCTCCTAGCATTACTTAAATAATGAAGAAATATGGTATATTTATTCACTATAATGTTGGTGCTTAATGCAGAACACGAGAAAACATATATTTACTATAAAATAATATACTTCCATTATGAAATAAGTAAATATGTGGCCTCATAGGAAGTCAACGGTCCAGGTGTCCATGTTGTGGAGCGACTTATCCAAGATATATTGTTGTCTGGAAAGTGTTTGTTTGCATATCAACCTTCTGTACACAGTGATCCAGTCGTCGCACTTCTCTCCTTAAATGATCGCAAATTTAGTTTATTATATTAACAAGTAGAATACGTATTTTTAATAATATCCAACATAACTAGCCAGAAAATATTTAAGACTTATTGAAAAATACATGTCGAAGTTAAATCGACTTCATAGAACAATAGTGTTGGTCTATACTAATCGTTATTCGTTAGTATGCGTTCGCTACTTAAAACATTTACTGTACTGATGTAAAATCTCCCATGTCTCTTCGCACATGGAACACCGAACCTTACACACTCTGATATATTGTTTAATAGAGATTCACTAATAAAGCTTATAATTGTATATGTTATCAAAAAGGCATAGATAAAGTCGTTCTTACGTTTTAGTCACAGAGATTAGATATTAGTAAAGTAAAGTTCATTTTCTGACCAGGGGGAAAAAGACACAGGCCGAATGGGCTTAAATTTTTTATTAGTAAATTAAATTCTGCAGAACATGTAAATAATATAAGTAGGAATTAACAAATGTAACATGTCCATGTCTGAGGACTAATTAACTTAAAATGTACCCCCGTAGTAGTAAGCATAGCCTAGACATGGCAAACACGTTCTGCAGAAACCTAATGGCAGATGAAATATAATTAGAACTAGGTATAACAGTCAGGACACAAAGGGGAAATAAAGTGTATAGACACAACACTTAACGGAGCCCTACCAAGACATAATGGGAAATCCTAGAATTAACAGGCGGGCAGAAAATACCTAGTGACTGGGGAAAACTGATATGACAAGTGGGAGAAGTTTTTCCCAGGGCGTGAGGCCGGCCGCCAAGGAATAAGAAGTGTTTCCTGACTCTTACTAGCACCTAGACTGGGCAAAGGATTAGCTGCGGACAGCGGGACACTTGGAGACCGACCGGCGCTGCACCCCCACCGCAGGCCAGCTGGCCGGACCCCCCCCCCCCCCCCCCGAAGGGCGAGGCCCGCTGGTCGCAAGGAGGCCTTATCTCTGGAATGAATTTTATTGCCAGGTGTTGCATTTCTCCAGAGCAGCTATATCCTTCTGAAGATGAGGTCTCCATGCTTGGATACAGTAATCCAAATGGGGGCGCACCAGAGATTTGTACAATTGAATCACTATATTCTTTTTCTTGAAGTCGAAGGTCCGCTTGATTATTCAAAATGGTTAATTTAACCCTATGCATCCTGCGGTAGTCAAAATGCAGTATTGGCTGTTTCTTATCTACATACTGTGCAATAAGCAACTGCAGACTGATCTTGTAACTGTGGCTCTTAAATGAGTTTATTTTTATTTTGTATTAAAGAAAATATTTAGTGTAATATAAACTATTTATGAAGAAAGAAATACTTTAATAAAGCGCTGATAGTATTGGGTCGCGCGTTGCTGGAACTCCTCGTCCTGGTTGAACTCTAAGTTGTCTTTAAAACGGCGCAGAATAAAATTTTCCTGTTTTCCTAAACTATTTATATTATTTGTTATCAGAAAATAGTGGCTATGTATAAACCACAAAATTTTAAAACGTAATTTACAGGTCAAATTTAAAAGAGAGTTGAAGTTAGTAAATGAAGAACCACCACCAACCATTGTTGGCCTAGACACTGGAGGGGGAGGACGTATTCCAGCTCTCGTCCTGATAGTATCTTCAAAGAAAGGTGTGAATGGCGGACCAGCAGGTGACCCAGGGAGAGAAAGAGACTGTCAGGCAGCAGGAAAACGTCCATAGGCGCAGGAACTGAACATGGACACATGCCAAGCGGGGTTCCAGAGGGTGGTAATGGAGGGCCGTCACCTGCCTGGAGGATATTCTGGGTCATCAGGTAGGCTTATGGACTTTTTTTTTTTTGAGATATATACAAGAGTTGTTACATTCTTGTATTTGTGCCTGCAGAATCGAGCTATTAGCTCTTGGGCCCCGCCTTTCTCTAACCAATCTATCCTTTATTATATCTAATATAGTATATATACATTTCACATACAATTAGGCTTCATTGCACTATTCGATGTAGTTGCTAGGCTATACATTTTCTTTCACCCGATTCCGCTGTTCACTTAGCAATGCGTAGATACCCGGGAGTCAGACAACTGTTGTGGATAACGTCTTTGGGAACGTTAGTAGTTACTTTTGGGAGGAAGGGTGTGGGGGGGGGGAGCTGGCGACCTCAATACAAGCCTAAGTACCAGGCCTGTCCCTGACAACGGGGTTAATTATAGTTGTTACTCAAGGGAGAATATAAGGCTCGAGTATGAGGAATGCGGTGCTAGGTAGGTCAGTTTGACTGGTGAAGGGATAATACTCTGGAAAAATATAGCCGCCAAACCACCTTGTTTAGTTGTTACGACGACAGATTCGCTTCTTTCAGGTTGGCATTCAATCCCCCGATAGTTCAAGCAGTTAGTCGTCATTGTTTCACTCCGTCCTCACATCCCAGCTCCTTCCTTTTTTCTATTCTAAATACTGTAGACATATCGGCTTGGCACTTCCTCCTGATAATACCTTGCTTCCCTTTTCCAGTGTATTAACATGAGTTGTGTTGTAGCCAGCAGTTTACAATGACGTGTAATGTAGTAATAATGAATGGATATATATATAATGTATATACTAGTACTTATGTAGCTCTTCGCCGTATTTCCCCAACTGGAATACAGTCTGGTAGGTCCAGGCAATTTTTACAGGTTGAAGGGACCAGTCACTTATGCATTTACGAGGAATTGTACTGTTGAAAAAGCAGATACATTTTTTTTAATTTACTAAATACAATATTTTTTCATGCTAATTGCAAGTACATAAAAATCTTCTTATAATATAGAGAAAAACTGCCTCTCATCTTGCAAGCATACATGGTTTTGAAGTTGTTGCAGTGGATGTGCTGAGTGTATGAGAGTGAGGCAGCTTGGCCGTTAATAGGTTCATGCTTCTCCATAGTATGTAGAAACCTGATTTTGTGGGTCTAGTCCTTTTTGTCGAAGTCTTAATGAACATTCTAACATTTCTCGCCAGCTACTGACGTGTGTAAGATCTATAGTGTCGTCAGCTAGTTCAGCTCGAGAAAAGATACACATTTAGCTAACCCTTGTGAACGTGGTTATTACTGGAAATATTTAAAAGGATTTTTTTTCTTGTTTTCCTTGCGTGCTTGTTTACGTTTGCCGGCATCCATGCTTTCCTCATTCTCATCACACGCGTCGCTGTCAGCCTCCTCCGGGTTTGGAGAAGGTGGCGGCGTTTTTTGGGACGACAGGGATCGAGCTAGTCTGAGGTGGGTGTGCAAGGAGTCGGAGCCGGTTTGGCTGAAGGGTTCGGTGTGGGCTGCAGCTGGTCCCCAGAAGGCAGCCCCTGCTACCGTGGCGGCTGCAGCCAAGGTCACTTTCAGATGCATCGCTTCTGGAAAGAAAAAATGTGTTTAAGTTGTTTTGCCTTTCTGACTCCTGTGTTTTTTAATCTCTCTCGCTTCAAATTTAACTAGATCTATCAGCCGTTTTGTTAGCCGGGTATTAATATTCATTGTCCATTGTTATCACCATCGCCCACTTTCATGGGCGATATTTTGAAGGATAACAACATATTCAAAGGTTAAAGATTGTCAATATAAACCCCCATTCATTCCCTACATTTCTTCAGTCTGTCATGCATACAGATGTGGGGAAGCCCTTGTAACTTACGGTCCAGCACGTTCTTAATTTTATTAAGATTTGACAACAGTGCAGTTGTTTTGTCTTTCTAAAGTGTTCGAACCTAAGTAAGCTATCTAACTTATTGAGGCAGACTGTCAGAAGACGTCAAATTTAAGATGAAATCGCCAGCCCTGTGCCAAATTAGACCCAAGTCATACATCTATCTATATCCATATATCTTTCTGTGTGGTACAGTTTTTAATTAATTTGGGAATTGTATATTGCTGCAAAACCGTATATGCATGCTTAATATTTCTAATTTCCTAATTGTTTATCTTTCAACTTAACATGTCTTTTTCTATACCTCTTTGTAACATCATTCTCTTGAAAATCTACTTCATTGTATATCCACAATATCCCAGCCCATCCTGTTTTGGTAGTACTTAAAGTAATGATGAGGATCATAGTACTGTATATATACCGACGTATAACGAAATTAAAAGTAGAAATTTAAGCTATTGAGTTGGACAAACCGGAAAACTATTTTTAACTTGTGTTGCTTTTACAAACTAAACTAACCTAACTTTCCTAGGCCTAATACACGATATCTGAGGCCTAATATAGTTCGTGTGTGTGTGCTATACAAGGCCTAGGCATATTTAAGTATAATTTTAGCTTCATTTATTTTAAAATAAATCCTTACTAGTCGGTATACTACTATCTAAAAGCTAAATACGTACGAATTCGTGACTATTGACGAACGTCATAATAGGTTGTTTAAGATTAGGTACGAACAAAAAGTTCCAAGTAGCACGGGCTATGGTGAGCCCGTAAATACCCTTAATAGGTACTATCTAAACAGAAGGATGGGTTGCAGTATCCATTAAGACTTAGTCTTCTATTTCTCTCGCATTTGTTCGAAAGAACACTAATTCCACTAGCTCTTTCCACTTGTTTAACACCAAAAACTAAGTGTATTTAGCATTCTGTATCAAACATTGTATTCGCCTCGCATGATTCATCTAATTGCGTAATTGCTTTAAAAGACCACTTTTAAATCCCACTTATGTATTCAGCAACCAACTCGTACCCATAACTTGTGGGTTAAGGGCACGAGTTAATGTTTTCGTTATAAAGCGTTATTGGTCGCAATCATATGTTTACTATTTAATCTCGTCCTGTGTCTTTCTATTCTCACTCTGTATCACATTCCTCATGTCAATATGGATGAGGAAGGGAACTATTAGGGGAAAGCGCCAAGCCACTACGACTATATAGCCCTGGGAAGGGGTCAGGTTAAGGATTTGGGATGGGACGGGGGGATGGATTGGTGCCCAGCCTCTTGGACGGTCGGGGATTGAACGCCGACCTGCATGAAGCGAGACCGCCGCTCTACCGTCCAGCCCAAGTGGTTGGACAGTATACACTTGTTATTCTGTACACTGATATATAAGAAAACGTAGAGTTGAATTTAAATTAAATATTTACCCAGTTATATTTTTGATAAACCTTTACGGGCTAAACTACTTTGATATTCTTTTGTATTTTCTAAACTATGATACTGTAGTAAAAGGTCATGAATTTTGTTCATAAAATTTGTTTCTTTTAAACAGTTGCATAACTAAAGCATCTAATAATAATTGCTTGCTAAGCCATATTTCGAAGACAGCACGACACAATACCATTTCACTGCCTGAATTGCAAATATTTAACTTTGTTTGGACAAGGATTGCATAATTCAAATGGTATTAGAATATTCTTATATTACAAAACGACGCGCGTAGATTGTTGAAATATTGGGTAGTGACGTCACAAATATGCATCATTTAAATGCGTGTAGGTTTTGAATTTGCAACGTTGCTGTTTAGCGTGGAATTGTGCAACACTGTACGTACTAGTGATTTTTTTTATCCAATCGCTTCTATATAATATGTTGATGATCTTGTGAAAAAATATCACAAGTCAAACCATTAGCAAAAGTTAGTGCTCTACTCCCGATCAGGTTCAAGTATGTTTATTGAGACAAGAAATACATCTCAGAGAGAGAGAGAGTTGCTTAGGCTATTTCTACCCCCACTTTATTCCCGATCCCCCTACCATACTGGCTGGCTCGTTCCCTCACGCATCCACACTGACGGATTAATCACACTCGCAGATTCCCTCTTATTCGCTTTAAACCCATCTTCCAGCATGTTTTTCCAAGACGCGGCTGACCTCGGTCACGCATTCATCAGTTTTAACATACTGGGTATTCAGAATCGGTACTTCGTTATATATATATAAATCATTATAAAGGTGTGCACCTGTCGTTTTGTTTGCCTAAATTAGTAGGGTAGACGCTTGGAGTTAGCTTCACCTCTATATGGATTTGTGAGCCCCTTGAGGGACCTGAAGTAGAGGAAGGTAAAAATAGTCTAAGCCACTCGTAGGCTGTTTCACTCCATCCTTTTGAGATGTATATTATTGTCTCAATAAACGTACTTGGAACTTGCTAGCTTCACCCAACTATTCATATGGATTTAAGGGCGGTATGTAACGGTCCTGGCAGGTCGGGGTTGACCACATTGCATTCCTTCAAGATTTTTTTCAAGCATCCCTCCATCAGTCCGTATATTGCATGTATTACATGGGATGCAATATACATCATCTTTCCAGGCTATAGTGTCTTATTTGGCATTATAAATTTTACACTGCAGAGTCCAGTGTAAACGATTGTTGTGGTTTAGTGAAATTTAAAGCATTGTAATACTGACGCTTCCTGGGACTATTGAGCAACCGCCTTGATAGGTGCGTAGCCTAGGTTTATAAGAGTCTAGTAAGGTAAAACCGCTTAAAATTTGACGCTTGTCAAATCGTCAGAGCTTGCTTATTTCCAATGACTAGGAAAGTGACTAATACCAGTATAGTCAGCTCACAAAATATTACAAGAGGCTGAGATATCAGGGAGTAATGAGCGCTTTTAATACTTGTCTACCTGTCCAGTAAAATAAAGAGGGGGTATCTTAACTTAAACTGATAAGACGGTACAAATCTTGAAGAGTGTGACTCCGACGAAAGGAAGGATGTCAGAGCTGCACAAGGCGTTTGTTCCAAGTACAGTTACAGTTACTTTTTAACAAAAGGATTAGCGTTGTGGTAACCTAATATCTCAAATAACATAATTAATGCTTCGACTAACCTTGACCTAATAAACTTTTTTTTTTTTTTTTTTTTTACTTTGGAATGTTTAAACACAACAAAAGGGGGCTAGCAAATAAATGTTAGGGTAGAATACAAAAAGAAACTACCAGATCTGTTATCACAGACACAAAGTAAAATACAGGTATTGATCAAGAAGGATGTTATAGGCAAGTTGTGACAACGAATTTGATTCAAGATTAAGTTTACACTCCATCTCGCCCATGTACAAAACTCGCCTATCCAGTCTATTGTTGAAACCTGCTCGGCGTGTTTGGGGAATTCGACTCTATGAAAAGCAGAGTGAGAACAGATAGGGGCCACAGACTGCAGCCATATAAAGATGCCTTCTACACCTTAATAAAACGTAAATACTGACCGTATCTACAACAAGCATCACCGTTAAATGTTATATATGGATGTGCTGGTGTAGTTGGAAACTAGCAGCCGCTGGCGACAATAGTTTTAACAATCGTAAAGGTACTATCGTTAAAATCCGTGGTAATGCTTACCTAGTTAGTGTTGGTTAGAGAGTAGACAGACCTGCTCAGCTCTGGCGGACCAACCAGACTCATGAGGAAGTGGTGAGCTACTGATGCCAAAAGATTTGCGTCCGTATCTCTGTGGCTTTGTATTCGAAAGTCTCATTATACATGCATGTTATGGTCCACGGGGATCCGCGCACTGATTCAAGGACACTTAGGTGTTGCATATGGCGGTCTCGGCCAGTTTGGGTTTGCCATTAATGTAATAAGCGCAATTGTAATTTTTATGGAATTACACAGTCGTCTGGCCTTGCATCTGACTGTGAATGCAGTGATTTATGCCTATGGGCGTGTTGTATAAAGCGACTACAATTGTATAAATACTACTTTCTGGGCGAGTACCTAACACGTTAAAGCATTGTATCTTCTCTGTCAGTATGGTCTGTTTTTAGATCAAATCGTTTACAAACTTTTAGAGAATTACAATTATGCATTTTGCCTTTACATTTGGAGCGATAGACGCGTGTTGCGCATGATGGATGTGCATTATACATGAACATACATTGCACGTGACGGACGTACAATACGCGTGACCGACATGCATTGTGCCAAGTCGGGAAGCATTGGTAATTCGTGGAATTCACTCCTAAAGGTTCACGTGTAGAGCAGCATCTTAGTTAATTTGTTATGCACACTATACCCATTCCGTGAGCGGCATGGGCCCCAATGCCCATTACGTGGGAGGTAGTGGCCCCTCCTCCCGTGGGTGGTGGTGGGAAAAGATAAGCAGCATACAGAGTTCGGGAACTCGCCTATTTAAAGTTGCCTCAACTTCTACGTTCTTTGTGAAGCGTTTTGTAATGCGTTTCCACTACATAAATTAGACTTTTGGGTTACTTTTAAATCTCTCGTAGCAACATACGACAGGTACTACGTGCATTTCAACATAAATTTACTTTATTTTTGTTTTTGAACGGCTTCAGTATCATTTATGAATCGGATATCTCTAAGAGATATTTGAGACATATCCCATTGCCAGATGCTAGTATATACAATGCCTGAAGCTACTAATACGCACAGCGTTTCGGGCAAGGTGTGGGGGAAAAACTTAATTTTCATTATTAAATTCAAATTGATGACTGAATAGCAAGTGTCAAAGGCTTAATTTGCATGGATTTCCTTCGCGTCATTGTTCATAATAAAATCCGTCACACAAGATTTATATTGAATATATGTAATAATTTATTATTATAGTTTTGAAAGATTTGTGTTCCCTTACTTGAACAGCAACTGGAGGCCTTTCTGCTCTCCATTTAATTGTATGCCTACTCATAAGTGCTTTCTGCGGGCATAGGATTTTGTTTAGTTTATATTTTATCATTAAGGTTCTTGGTACTGTATTGGCAAGTTGGTACTAGACTAATCTTGTTTTTTTTAACCTTGTCACTAATATTGAATTTTAATCTTTCCACTGCATTGATCTTGTGATGAGATCTTTCAACTAACCTTGTTTAGGTACCTTTCCACTAACCTTGTATAGGTACCTTTCCACTAATCTTGTATTTGTATCTTGTAACTCATCTAATTTGGTATTGGGAACTCGTCAAGCTTGTTTTTGGTATTGCACACAATATTCATCTGCCAGGCGCCTCTGCGTCGACCTAAACATTCCCAGTCTTAGGATTAACTTGTCAAATCATTCGAAGCTTGTCGAAATGTATATTATTGAACAGTAGTTAGATGATATTTCCTCCACAACACCTCGTTGATCGTCTTTGGACTACAGTATTTATGCTGCAATGGGAAGGCTAGTATCATACCTTACACGGTACATACTGGAGCTACATTGTATAATGTATATACTGGTATACTGGAGCTATATTATATGATATATCATACCTTACACAGGGTATGTACTGAAGGTACACCATATATCATGCTTTGCATAGGTGTAAAAGCTGGAAGTCTAGGAAATAACAAATTAGTAAAAGTCTGCACTAGCAACACATCTTTTATAATCCCAACGAGCTAATAAGCCTAACATTGTTACACACAATTTGTATCCTGTTTCTCCCTTAAAGATTGAACTTGGTTTCATGTATCGGTAATGTACATTTGGCTTTTAAAAAAACAGCTACAGGGATGTATTTTATTTAAAGCACTTGTAATTGGCAAAAGCAGGCAGAAATATGCAATATTCAACACCAAGCTAGATAATGACGTAGGGTAGATTCATTAATAGTACATCTGTATTTTTTAGAGTTTAAGGGTCATTATTTCGGAGAACATCGCGTCGGTGGCAGGGTTTAGTGATGCGTGGCTGGCATTCTGCGGTGCCTGCCTCCAGGGTGAGGGTCACCTCTCCGGTGCCATCGTTAAGGCAGGCACTGATGTTCTTAATGTACCTGCAGGTACTGAGGTCTGCCTGGGCCACCTCCAGCACCACCACAAGTGCCAGGAACATGACGCTCCACGCGTCAACCGCAGGCGCCCGCATCTCTGCAAGCTAAGATCTATTGTTAGCATATATGGTTATGGATTAACGTTTAAAATGCAGGTTATATGGAGAGTACTATGAATATATGTGTGACCAGTAGATGATACAAAGTTTTTACAAGCTTCCTTGCAAGTGAATCACTCCTTGATCTATTGCACTAGCATTGATACTTTCCAAAAACGATGCCTTACAGGTTTGTCCTCTTATAATTATTTCGCCCAATTTGTAAAGTTACTTACTTAAAATTTTACCAAACTGTAAAAAAAAAAGCCAGCATCAAGTCAATATGGTATGAGTGATGAGCACATCTCAGTGTGTGCGTCATGTACCCAGCGGTCCGTGTCGCAATGGTTGCGTTGGACAACCTTCTCGCCTTGGGTGGCTAATGTGGGAATTAATTGGCAGACAACTTAGACGAGGGGTTGGTCTAACGAAATATTTTAAGAAAATTTAAAATGAAATGTTAAACTGAATAAAATCAGTGGCACAATATGAATGTTTTATTACACTATTAAACAAATGATGGCCTAATATCTCGTTTTGTCGGGAACAGGAAGCCTGTGTATACATACAGTACATTAGGAGTGTATGGAGGTTCCCCAAGGTCAAACTACTGACCTTTCCCCAGGATGTAAGTCCACAATAACTGCTTAACTCCCGTGTACCTATTTACTGCTAGGTTAACAGAGGCATTAGATGAAAGGAAATGTGCCCAACCATTTCTGTCTCCCGAGAATTGAATCCGGGATCCTGGACAGAATGGAAGGTTGACATATAAAGGGTATAAAAGGTCTATCGTCAGCAATGTGTGTTTTTAAATGAATTAAATCGGCAAATTAGTTTTACCTGGATAGTGTTAAAATAGTAGACACTTTCTGTACAACCGGGAACGACCAGCCCAGCCACGGACACAGTTTCAGGGCAACTGATGTCTGGCTTGCAGGCATACAGTTTTGCAGTTGTATATATACAAAAGAAAATTTGGTCCTTTGTTGATTATGTGCTTGTGCCAGAGTGCTCCTTTGTGTTAGTGGATTGTGTAATCCAGAGGCCACGCGGCGTACCGTGAACTACGGAAGTGGTGCTATTGTCGGTGTACGGGGTTTACCAACCAGTCAGGTCATCGTATGTATCCAACTTGATGCTTTAAACTAGTTGATGTAATGTTTTTCATAGTCTGTAAACAGAACTTACGTTTTACATAATGCGTGTGCTATGTTGCAGAGGGGTAACGAAGGGTGTAGTAGCTCGAGTCATGTAGAACCCAAGTTTCATAACATTGCAAATTGTTCCTGATATGGATCTTATCCTATCTTTGATATCCAAAACACAAATCGTTTACATGGGCTAACATGTTAACTATTTCAATGCTTAGGACACCTAGTACTAATATTTTGACTGAAATAGATTAGTCGGAATATCGATTATTATAATAGTTGATTGCATGTTAGAAGTATATGCTTTCGATGTGGTAATAATACCGAGAGGGGCGCAGTGTGTGTGTGGTGCTAAGATGTGCGTACAGCATGTATAGTGTCAAGGATAGTGTGCGAAGCATGCGTGGTGTTACGGATGGAATGAGCAGCATTTGTGGTTACCTTACCTTGCGATGGTTCAGAGGATTAAGGACTGGACCAAAACGTTATGCGTGCTAGTGGCTGTAAAAGAATGTAAGAACTCTTGTATAAATAGATAAATAAAATAAACCTTGCATGGTATACAAGTTAGGGAAACTGCACTGTAGTTCAGTGCCTCTTGCCTGTCACCCTTTTTGTATATTGGGACTACATTAGCTGTCTTCCAGCTTTCTGGTAGCTCTCCTGTTTCTGTGACCATAGAGTGGCACACTTAGTGCCTCTGCACCCTCTTTCAGTATCTATGGTGAGATTGTCAGCCCCAACAGCTCCACTTTTACGAGTTCTTCACACACCACCTTGTCATTCTGTGTATCTGTTCTCCCCTTTTCTCAGTTTCATCACTTGTTCCTTCACTGCTGTTTTCCTCCTGATGTGGCTGTAGAGCAGTTTTGGTTGGGTCTTTGCTTTACTCGCGATGTCATTTTCATACTGTCACTGCTTCTCACCCTTGAGGGTCAAGGGTAGTGTGAGCGCGCAAGGTGTGATGCCAAGGGCTACGTGTTAACATGTGTGGAGCCCAAGATGGTGTTTGAGCTCAGTAATGGGAATAAAGGCTTAAAGATGAATTTTCAGTTTTGGGCCCATTCGGATTACACTTTCATAGTTAAAAAGGATCCCCCCCCCCTTGTGTCAGGGTCATAGTTGGCATTACCAGTCATCAAAAAGGTGATATTCGTAATTACCTAAGTGTAGTTACAAGATGAGAACTACGCTCGTGGTGTCCCGTCTTCCCAGCACATTGTCGTATAGCATGTCAGGGATAAGCTGTAATTTTGGTGTCTTGTAATTTAAAGGATCAGTCTGTCATGTTGGACTTTATTTCTTGGGCCCTGCCTCTAGTTATGTTATAATTTAGCTATTAATAGTTAAATTCAAATTAAAAAATAGTTACAGTACTGTATATTAAACTAAGATAATAAAGGAAATGTAGTTCTTGGGCTCCGCCTCTTTGTGGTTACCTTGCATTGATTTCAAGGGTTCCTTTGTCCTGGTCTCTGACCAAGCCTCCTGGTGGTGGTCTGGTCAACCAGCTGGTCAAACCAGCAAACTTTCATTTGCTTTCAACTTTCGAAAGCAAACGAAAACTTTCGTTTGCTTTCGAAAGCAAACAAAAACTTTGCTTTCATTTTACCAACCAAAGCAAAGTAAAACAATTCAAACAGCAACGTCTCCTGCCCTTCCACTCACTTTACTAGTTCTCTCCGAGTGCCTCCTTACACCTTAACCAAGTGTCCCTTCACAAGACCACCATCCACATATAAGGACTGTTCCTGAACAAATAGCCAGGATGTCACAACGAAAAGGTTGATGATATTCTTGAGACATAAGAATTTTGCACCAAGACTAACTTTTTGTTGAATTATCTGCATGTTACTTGCAAATTATCTATACAGTATATCTAGGTCATAAAAGTATTTGTGTACGTCTGGTACCATATTACTTGTGTAAAGGATGAACTGTAGACATTTATCTCAGAATGTTTGGTAATATGTTTATTGTTGTGATGTGTTTTTATGTATTTATTAACACGATGTACTGAACGGGGTGAGAATAGCTTGAGCTACCTCATCCCTTTGTGTGTATTTTACCTCAATAAACTTATTTCAATTTCAATCCACATATCTGCCTAGCCTGCCATCTAAAAAGCCCATTCTCCACCTACAAGTGCACGTCCCCCGCCACACCTCCCCATACACGCAAACTTTCCCCGTTCCACAGCGTCCTGCTCCCTCTCCTCCACCAGCATCCCTTCTCCTCACTTAGAATTTATTTATTTTTATACAAGAAGGTACATTGGGTTGAGAAAGTACATACATTTTGGTTCGTAACAATCTTGCAAAGCCACCAACAAGCATAGTGTTTCGGGCAGGTCCTCAAGCTAAACAATAATGGTAACAATTTGAGTTCAACATAACTACATTACAAATTGACAATTTCAATAACTATTCTATGTCAAAAGTACTTGTTTGGATGAGTAGGGTAGCATAAAGTTGGAAACCATGAGATGAAATTATTCAAAAGTAAAAGCAAAAAGTACCCAAAGTATAGGTTGGATAATTTATTAAGGAGTGAGTCTCTTTGACTAGGTTCTTTACTTTGCATGGAAAGTTGGCAGAGATTTAGTCTGACTAGCAATATTATATTTATGTTGTGGTGCTAATGGGTTCTATTACATCTATTAAGAGTTTCAGATCAGGATTAGCATTTAGGAATAAGATTTTATACATGTAAATAGCATAAGAAAATGTGTAGAGTGCATGTTTAAGGACTTAAACAGTGGGGCTGTTGTCCATGATAGTTCTGATTGCAGAGTTTTTGATGGGTTTGAGGTAATTTGCAGTGGTTTCACTTCATGTACAGATACTGTATGTTAGGATAGATTATAGAGTACAGTATAATGAAAGGAGAGCAGTGGGAACATATCCAATTTTAAGAGACTGTTTTTGGCTGTGTTGTATGTTAGTGCTGAAGCGTAGTCTCTTATCCATGTATGGGCCAAGGAACTTTCCATCATTTTTAGTGTTAATGTTTACATTGTCTGAAGGTGAAATTGCAAGGTGCTAACAAATTCCAAGAGACCTAGACATGTTACTACATATCTCACCAGCAGCTATCCTAACACTATTTTTTTTTTTTACCTGTCAGCCCAACAGACTTATCCATAATTCAATCGGTTAAAACAACCAAAGCTGGGAACGTTAGTGAAATACCATCTACGGTATATAATAATGCCGCTCTTTAACTACCCATAGCTCTGCTATTCAACAAATGTCATGTTTCAAAATATTCTTAAAAAAGGAAGAGTAATGCCAGTTCATAAAGGAGGCGAGACAGCTAATTAACAATTACAGACAATATCAAATTACCTATACTTTCAAAAATATTTCAACAAATTATTTACAAATGGCTCTATTCTTACCTTGTAAAACTCAACATATTAAGTCCCTACCAGTTTTGCTTTGTCCCCCCCCCCCCCCCCCCAAAAAAAAAAGAGTACCAATGATTCTATTATTAGTCGGCTTAATGTAATCCACACAGCCCTTGACAAAAATGAATTCCCATAATCCCCAATAATTTTCCAAATGTTTATAACATTCTTAAACTTATATTTGCTGATGACACTACCGTCATATTTTCTGACCCCCAATCCCCACATTAAATAATACTGTAAATAATAAATTTAGAAAAAAAAGTTCACTAATGGATGTCGACCAAAAAACTGACTAAACATAGAAAAGACCTACACCATTATATTTGGAGGCAAATTATAAAAAACTTCAAATAGACAATGTTAACATTAGCAATAAAAATAAGGAAAGTTTCTTGGCTTATACATAGAGACAACTTGAGCACCCACATACAACACAACCAAAAAGAAAAGGCTCAAACAGCCGGTATACTCTAAAATCAGACATAATGTCCCCCCCCCCCCATTACTCTCATTATACTACTTTCTAATCTATCCTTATCTTGCATATGCTATCTGTGCATAGGGTTTATCCACTGCAAATTACCTAAAGCCCATCATCACTGCAAAAATCTATTAGCACTGTAACCAACAGACAACGCACAGCCCCTCTGGTTAAGTCACTAAACACGCACTCCACACATTCTATTGTGCTATTTACATGTATAAAACCCTGTGTCTTAAATGCCAATCTTGATCTGAAACTTTTCCTTGATGGTTGTAATAGATTCCATGAGCACCACACCAGAAATGAATATCTTTGATATCCCCAGTCTAACTAAATCTGTACAAACACTATGCAAATAAAAGGACCCAGTCTATGAAACTCGCTCCCTAATAAATTAAAAAAATTATCCAACCTATGCCTTATTCAAAAGAATAACCAAGTACCTAATTTCATCCTTGGTTTCTTACTTTATGCTTCAAACTCACTATCTTGTGCTACCCACTCCCCCAATATTAAGTACTAAAGACACATTTTCACCAGTGTAATCACCTCTAAATTTATATTGCTGTTATATGTTGATCTAAAAAATTTTGCTATAATGTTCCTTTTCATCTTGCCTGACCTGTTAGATTAAGGACCTGCCTGAAATGAGAGTTGCTTTGCAAGGATGTAAAAATACTGTACCAATATTATATAACCTCTCAAACCCATTGTACCTTCTTGTAAATAGGTAAAGTAAATTTAAGGGCTTTAACAGTTATTGCTTAGTCAATGACAATGGGGAGTGATGTATTACAGCCCATTATCATGCTGTTGCCCGCTCAAACTATAATACACGAAGGTTCAAGGAAAATCTGCCTTTTAACACACAACACGTAAATATTGTACAGTACATAACTACTGTAATGAAATGTAAGACTAGACACTGAAGTAATTTAACAATTCTTAATTATGTCTTTAGATATATATTTGATGAGTTTTACATCGGTAACAATCTAGTCAAATTTGTTCCCTATCATATGTGTGTAAACAATATTGTAAACATGGAATTTTAGGATCTTCTTTAAAATTTCAATACCGATACACTTTCAGTGGTACCCATTTTGTTAAGGGTTTCAGTCAAGAAAGTTCTGAAAATATTGTCGACGTGATACATAAAATTAGTTATAAAAGCATTGTCCAATCAATATGCTTAATTGAGCCTAGACATAAGCCTAAAGACTAATTTAGACGAGCCTAAAAGAAAAACAAAATTCAGTGTGTTCTTGGCACTACTCTATTTAGGAATAATTAAATATTGTATTTTGCCTTTGGTTTATTTCAACTGAGAAAACTTGTCCAAAATATATACACAAAAAAATAGAGGGGGTGTGCTTACTGGCAAAGGCAAGTGGCAATTTGTTAGCATTTCAATGTCATTACTTTGTTAAAAGTAAAGCAAAAGGCATTGTGCACAAGAAAAGCAAAGTAAATGAGAACAATTACTATGTCATTTACAACAAACTACCCAATGGAAAACAAAGAGCCACAGAAGCAATGCTCAGATTACCCGAATTAGCTATTTGTGGCATAAATTTTAATAACTTGCACACCTTTGTACAACTGTATAGTTGTACTCTTGTTCTGAATATATGAGTGCAATATCTATACTTGGGCTGTTGTAACGTACGTTTGTTACACGTTGTTGGGTTGATTAGATACAGTGTTTAGTGAGTTTCATATTTATTTAGTAGTCCTGGATACAGCAGTGTCGTAGACGTTGAGACGAAGCCTGGAGCTCCACGACTCCGGCCTCTCTCTGCTCGAGGCTTCGTCTCAACGTCTACGACACTGCTGTACCTAGGACTACTAAATAAATATGAAACTCACTAAACACTGTGTATCTAATCAACCCAACAACGTAACACAAACGTATGTTACACTGTCAAGATTCTTTTGCAAACTATTGTTCAAGAAAAATGTATTGCATCATGAATTCTCTTCAGCTTCATCTTATCATTCTGCTAGTGGCACATTTACTTATACAGAGCAAAAGAGCTTTATTCCAACTGTCAACTTTAAAAAGATGAATGGGCATTTTGAATCTTTGTAATTACATTCAAAAGGCTCTAAACTCAATAAGCATTTGCTAAGATTTTTTTCATTCCCCTTTACTAGTTCCCAAATATTTGTATACTAAATACAGTACATATAAATATATCACTGAAAATAATCAAAGCCCTTTAAAGGAATACAGTATAATGGTTATATGCATTTATAAATTTGGTGTCAGTGAAGTTTGGTCCCTTATTCCCTGTATACAAGTTCAGAGAATTTATTCCTTGATAACAAAACTTATTCCATTCTCTTCCAGACGTGAGCGCAGACTTGTCTTGAGGAAGGCTGCTGCTGGAGTGTATACACCGCCCCTGTGGATAAACAAAGAAAAAGTCCCAGGAGCAATGTAAACTGGGTAATTTAATTACCCAGAAAAAGTACAATTTTGGTATAACTTTTACCCAGTAAAAAGTAATTTTGTAAACAATTACTGTGTTTTAATAAAGACATACTAGTGTTATTGAATGACAGTCTCTGATAAATGAATCTTGTACAACAACTTTCCTACATCTTGTGTTCCTCACCATTAGAAGTTGCCTAGCAATTAAGGTTATTAAAACGAAGGCTAACATCTATTGTAACTGACATGAAACACTTGCCAAGGTTTAAGGAAGGCTACTCAATCTGTGTAGTTGTTCCTTGCTGCTTTGTATTAGTGGTATGTTTGAGGGTTTGATCTCTTACTATACTTATTAAATTTTTTAATCTTTTGGTCTCGCCCTCTCAATTTGTTGAATCAATCCTGTTTCCTATTCTGCATCTCTCTTTTGGTAATTACCCAAGTGTAGTTACAGAGCGCTACACTCGTGGTGTCCCGTCTCCCCCAGCACTGTCATACAACACTTTGAAATTACTGATGGTTTTGGCCACCACCTTCTCACCTAATTTGTTCCAACCGTCTACCACTCTGTTTACAAAAGTGAATTTCCTTATATTTCTCCGGCCGCTCTGTTTCGTGAGTTTAAATCTATGACCTCTTGTTCTTGAAGTTCCGGGCCCCAGGAATTCTTCCCTATCAATTATATCAATTCCTGTTACTATTTTGTATGTAGTGATTATATCACCTCTTTCTTCTGTCTTCTAGTTTTTGCATATTTAATGCTTCTAACCTCTCCTCGTAGTTCTTGCCCTTCAGTTCTGGGAGCCACTTGGTGGCATGTCGTTGCACCTTTTCCAGTTTGTTGATGTGCTTCTCAAGATATGGGCACCATTCAATTGCTGCATATGGTATACATTTTGTTGTGCCTTTATCATATATTTCACAAAACTTGACATAAATCTCATTTACTTCCCTGCCTTAAGTCTTTCTAATCAAATTCATTAAAGAATTTGCTGTTCCACTTAGTTGATAAACTTGATTTCAAGAGAAGATTCTATTTTATTTCCCGCCATTCTCTTTTAGATTATATTGCATTGCACATTTAGTTTCCAACAGGACACTCCCCTTCCCCACAGGAAGGCGGCACTGAATGTCAAATATCCCCTTCTATCCTGGCAAATATTGAATTTAATATTGAAAGAACATCCCCTTCTCTCATTCTCATGGTCTACTTTAATGTGTTGATGCATGAATGTCTCTAGAATGTATGTGTTACATATTACATTCCTCAGTAGGCCTGTCGGCTAGCCTCCTTATGAGAGCTACTGCACCTAAACACACACAAAACCAGGCAGTAAAGACTCATTCCTACAACTATCAGAGACAGACTAACCTTCCTGGCAGCTTGTCCTTCTCCTTTAGGATTGTCATGGCACTCTGGGTCACTAATATAGCAGTGGCAAAGTAGCCTGGATCGGGTCCTTTCACCTGCAATGTTGGAAACTTTTTTTTTAATTGCTACTAATTTAAGACAAAAAGTTTAAACATGCTTTGGCAAACACATGACAAGTATGGCTGACAGAACAGGATTATATGTCAAGGCAAAAATAATTTTTTTTTGGGGAAAAAAAAAAAAAGATGAAGATTATGAAGATGATATAGATTAAGATGTAGAAGATGATGTAGATAATTATGCAGATGATGACTCATGTAGATGATGATGTAGAAGATGAAGAGGAAAATTTTAAGTTCCACTTAAAAATATAATTGGTAGTACCTGAACTGTTTTGAAGGTATTGGGTGGCTGCGTGTGCTGCTCATCCACATCTTCCAACTTCTTATCCCAACCCTTCCCAGTTAAGGTCACACAAAACCTCAAGCCAGTCAAATCTGAGCGTTTTGGACCCTTTGTAGTTACTATGCCAAATGTGAAGATTTCTGGATACTGAAAAATTCACAAATATTTAAATGTAAGATTCATTTGATGCAGCTGTAATGACATTATAGAATCTTTGGTTTTCTCATTACTGTAATACAGTAGGTTTGAAGCTGCAATAAAACGACACATACAAAAGCTCAATTGATACAGTTCAACAAATTTCAAGATGTTCTGGGTTATTTCATTTTTGCAAATTTTGTCTAAAAAGGCTAAACAAGGCATAGCTTATCTTAATATGCACATTTATATAAATGTCATCATTCCTGTTTTTGGGTCAAAGTGTAGTACAGCACTTGGGTAGCAGAGGGAAAATTTGAAGAATAGCGGTATGGGGTTTACAATTTACGGCTCATTGCATGACAAGTGGATTGTTATGGTATAGAAGGGGCCGGAGCACTACCTTGCAACAACCAAGGTAACTATTGTTAGGAACACAAAGCTGTTCACAAGTCCCATATAAATTAAAGACCTCACCTTCAACAATATATTCCTAGTAAATGCAAATGATGCCATGAAGTAGAACAGAATGCCAAACAGTAGGCCACCTAAGGCAGTCGCTAAAGATTTCATGCCAAAGTACACACTTATTTGGGCAGGACGTCTCTTCTCCAACTCATAGTTAAGACGTTGTGACCGCATTACAACAGAGCGATCTGAAGCCATGTTGGGAAGACACCACCGTTCTGCCTCATCACTGTAGAACACCTTTCCTCTGAAATGTGAGTACAGTATTTCCTACTATACTTAGACCATGATCAATTATCTTTTCTGTACAAATTTCAATAAGATGTAAAATAATGCAAAACAAAAGCTTTAATACTATAATTATACTAATTTGGTTTTGTTAGTGAATTTATTAATCTACCAATTTACACAAACCAAGCCTGATAAATCTTAAGCACCAATTTTTATGGGAGTAGACTTTTATTGTGCAGATCAAAGTTACTATAGTTTGGTTACTGTCAACTCCATACTGCAGGTTAAACAGTGTAATCACAAATGCATAAAGATTCAAATATTTTTGCAAATACATTTACACAAATCTTTTATGTATACTCCAATAGTTTTACAGCACCCATCTCATCTGTAAAAACTGCTTGGTCCTTCAATCCCATACCATCTCTTATTGATAAAACTAGCTACCCCTATACAATACACTTTCCACTGTAACAGAAAATGTCTATTGTCCATCCACTTTGATAGATACGATGTCTGCCATGATTCTTGCAAGTCTGCATTCAATCCCCGAGGCCAAGTCATTGCCTACCGTTCCTTCCCCTTGTCCTTGGATACCTTGCATGTGCTATACAATCAGTCTTAACATTACTTCCCGTAATTTGTAATTTATTCAGCAAGAACTTTGCAGTCATTGACAAATCACTGTTTAACCTGGAAAGAAACACAGTATGTTCGTCATTCAGCTGCCAGGTACATGCACAAATCTGGCCACCTTGGCAAGATGTTTGGAACACTGCAACTCTTGTAACAACAGCATCTATCCTGGATGCTGTAACCTACAACGTGCTGCTGGTCCTGCACTTTGTCGAATTTCAGAAGTCTGAATCTCCTAAAATCTGTTACAACTTGCTGTCATCTTAGCCTTATGAAATTACACTTTTAGCAGAGTATATTGTTATAATGTACTTCCATTACCTCTGTCTGGCTATCGAAAAGACTAGGACTCGTTCTGGTCTTGTTTTACTAAAGAACTGGACACGATAACGTAAATTTATAATAGAATTCCATACCGTGGTTCAGGTTTGTATGCAGGCTTAGGCAGAGGAGTGCTGAATAACTCGCTCCGCAACTTCTTCAAATCCTTGCTGTGTGTCAATCCTAGAACAGCACACTCCAGTGTTGTAAAGTTGATACCAGCACTTCCCTAGAAAAATAATGCAAAATAAAAATTATTGCCAAAATGGGGGTGGGGAAAGTAAATGAGCATGGATCTAACACCTAATCTAGGAAAAGCTAATTAAAGAGTTGAAATGTCAAGCATTACCATTTTAATTTTTAGATAAATTTAACTTCAGATAGACAATGTTAATATTAGCAATAAAAATGAGGGAAAGTTCCTTGGCCTTCAGTCATGGACAAAAGACTGAACTTCAGCAAAAATCTGCTACCAGAACTAGAACAAACTCTGTCTTCAGACACACAGCTCCCTCTGTTTAAGTTACTAAACATACACTCATTCCATACAGTCTCTTATGTGTTATTTACATGTACAAAACCTTGTTCCTAAATGCTAATCTTTATCTGAAAATTTCCCTTGATAGTTGTAATAGAACCCATGAGCACCACACCAGAAATAAATATCTCTGATATCCCCAGAGTCAAACTAAGTCTGTGCAAACACTTCATGCAAATAAAAAGACCTAGTTTATGGAATTCAGTCCTTAATAAAAAAAATTGTCCAACCTGTGCCTTATTAAAAGAAAAACCAAAAACGTATCTGGTTTCATCTTCAGTTTCCTACCTTTTACTTCAAACTCTCCCTATCTTGTGCAACCCACTTCCAATATTAGTACTCGAGACATATCTTCAGTGTAATCACCTCTGTCAGTGTACAGTATATTGTAGTTATATGTTGATATCAACTTTTGTTACAATGTATCTATTCATCTTGCCTGATTTGTTAGATGTGCAAAACGGTATGCGTGTTAGTAGCTGTGCAAGAATGTAAAAATATCAATATTATGTTCTCTCACAAATCCATTGTACCTTCTTGTAAATAAATAAATGAATGTATTCAAGGCTTTTTAAACTGCAGTACATGTTTGTTGCCTACTTTGCTAAATTAAAAATACAAATTTTGAAGAAACAGTTGACAATTTTACTCAAAGCTGGTAAAGCAGCTTCCACTTGCTTTTCATGGAGAAACACGAAAGCTGGTTCAACAAATCACAAACAAGAAAGCCAATCTTCAACTTATGAAGAAAATTCCTTGAATAAACAAATGCCAGAGTCCAATTATCACTTCAATCACTTTTTGCATTGCATTACTTTAAAAGGGTAATTTTCCGAGTCAAAATGGACTTTCACAGTTGATTGCTATGCAAACTGTATGTCCAGAGGGCACAACATCCTGAAGCAGTATTGGTTTGATGTTGAATCAATGTCATTACCATTGATTCAGCATGGTTCTCTGATATTGTGCCCACTGGGTGGTCAAAGGAAAACCACCCTAGTGGCATTTATACCATGACAGGTCAACAGAAGTATCCATCTCTCTATACATGCATTTCAGAGTCGGTGAGGATATTAAGCCTTTTTGAAGAAAACGGCAAAATTCAAAAGCTAATAACTAAATTCCCCTTTGTGCAGAGAAGAGGCAACTCCTTCCATGACTACTATGGTGCAAGCAGTCTTTTATCCCCCCTACAACAAAGGATTGGAGGAGCTGTCTTGGCATGTTTCTTGCCACACAAAGCAAAAGAAGTATTAATCCCAAGACTTGAGCCTGTCCAGAACACAGAAGATCAAAGGAATACATGAACTACAGAGGCCTGTTCACCCATACAAAGTAATGCCTATTTATACCTACCCAAACTACCTTGAGAATTACAGTTAACCGCAGGAAGCTGCAAGGAAATTGCGATGAATGAAAGATGAAGTGGTGGAAGTTTAAGATAGAAATTTTAATATGCAAGGTTTATGTGAAAAGCCCAAAAAATAATAAAAGGTGGAATGGAGTGAGGATTGCAAGTGTATGGGTAAAGAGGAATAAGGAGAAAGAAGGGCTATTAATGAAGAGTGACACTAGGCAATGTATGACATCCTGGTCAGCTTAAGATTCTTGAACACAAAATTTAAGAATGAAAAAGTTAAATTTGGCCATTACATGTACAGTGTTATGGCAAGTTTTTTTTTTTTTTGGGTGGTTTAGTGAGACTAATTTAATATACTGTATACATTTACACCCACTTGTGCATAAATATTACACAAATTGGGAATGGACCCAAGAATGGAGTGAAGGGTGCACACTGTGTACCAGGAGCAAATTATAAGTCCCGTAGACAGGGACAGGAACCATGTAATTTTGACTAGTATAGAAGTCCCTTGATCGAACTACCGACCTTCCCCAGGATGTAACCCACAACAACAGTTGCCTTACTCCCAGGTACATGTGTACAGTTAGGTAAAGAAGAGGTATCAGATGAAAGTAAACACCCCCAACTATTTTCCTACTGCCTTGGGATTGAACCTGGGATCTGTACCACAGGGCCCATAATAACTATTTTTAGCCATCACACTAGCTAAGTTCTCACAGGCCAACCCTGCATGGAAAAAAAAAAATACCATACTATATATTCTTTGATCAAAACCTTTCCAATCAATTGACTTAATATTTATTAAGTCCTTATATTGAAATAAAGTTTGTACTTAAATTCTTCCAGAAAATAAAATAAAAGTGAAAAGTCAATAAATTTGAGCAATTCAAAAAAAAAATATATATATACTGTATATAAAACTTAATATTTGCTTTTAATATTTTTGGGAGATATGATAATAAATGTTTCAAATTATAAACACATGCATAATAACAATGGTTGTCATCGTCTAATAAAAATAACAAAAGATGTGGAATCTTTCTGCCCAGCTTCGTGTTTAGGCTGTTTAGATAGTACCTATAGTAATTATGAGGACCATCGTACATATATTGATGTAATAGACAATTGGAAAGAATAATTTGGTACTACAGTGTATTGAATTTTGACAAACTGGAAAAGGTTTTGTATTTATATTGCTAATAAACCAAACCTAACCATCCTAGGCTTAATACATGCTATCTGAAGCCTAATAGTACATATATGTCTCATACTAGGCCTAGGAATATTTGTTTGGTTTTAGCTTTCTTTTTTCTAGACTTCATAAGTGAAGAGTATCAAATTCTATCCCATTGTCCATTTCATCAATATACAGTAATGATGTCAACCATTGTACACAAGTACTATCTAAACAGGAGGATGGACTGTCTTTATATTATTACAGTATAATATAAAGACAGTCTGCATATAACAGGTAGTTATATACAGAACACAAGCCTCAAATTTCTACCATAAAAAATGTGACTCAATGTGATCAGTAGTACAAGGGTTTATAATCAAATAGGATTTTAATTTATAAAAGGATCTCTAAACATGGTCAGTCAACACTGGTCAATCACACTCCATACTTGGTGCTACAGCCACCACAGGATATTAAACCTGAATGAAGGATATAATGACTTTCCACACATGAAGACTGAACATGAAAATATTAAGAATTAAGTAGGCCACATTTTATTATGAAAGGAATTTAATTAGTCTGCACCTTACAAACTGCTAGTGTGATGAAGCCGTTTTATTCTGGATAAAATGATTTATATGTTTTTAATATCTATAACCTTTGCTACTTTATTGCCTTCCCCCCTTCCCCTTTGATTTTTGGGCTGAAGCTTTCAGACCTCAAATGTGGTTGTGAAATAAGGTAATAATTAAGCTTAATGTACATATATAAAGCAGAAAAAAATATACAGCACTTACAGATGAAGTATCATCAAAGCCAACAACGGTCTCCACAGAATTCACATCGCCTGCAAATAAAACAAACTGGATTAATAGATTAATCTACAAATGAACACTGCATTGTGTCAAGGATCCAAGATACCTGCAAAGATATTCCCTCAATACCTGTACACAGTAAAAAATTAAAGTACGAAATGCAGAGAGATCTCCATTTGCTTGGAGATTACAACATTCCTATAATACAAACCTGAATAAAAATAAAAATTCCATTTACCTCCAAAACCAATTTTAGATATATGAAACTTGTTCCACATCCAGCCACAAATTCAGTACATAATCAAGTCCAGAATGCTTGGCATGTGTAATGCCATATACTGTACTTCAGTTATTTCCCATGTTCACGGAGTCTCCTTCCTCTCCACAATCGGCTTCCTCTGTAATGGGCCTCTTACGATCGTCATGTTTTCTACGTAGATCACTAACATTTTTCCCTCTAGGACTTATCAAGCTGGAAAATCTTGCCAATTTCAAGAACAGTGGGAAATTGTAAGATTCAGATGGCAGACATAGCATAGCAAGCCATGCTCACCATGTTAGTGCAGGCCACTAAAGATCACTTACAAATACTAAACCCTGGTAAACTTGGACCACACATTTTAAAACTTTGTATATGAAATGAACCTACATACTCTACACTTCGTGTTATTCCAGCTCGTCCTTTAAACAAAGACCCAACGTCCATTCCAGGCTAAACCCCATTTATGAATGAAAAATGGTTTACACATGACTTACAACTGATGACATTCAAACACTTTCCAAACGAGTGCTTCGACAATTTTTTTTCGAACCACAACGCTGTAAATGATTCACCCACATACTACAAATAATCGCCAACAGAACCTAAACACCAAACCTAACCGGTGCCTAAATATGTATAATATGGCAATATAAAATAGTATAAACTTACATTTGAGAAAATTCCCGTTTTGAATGAACAGCATGTTAAAATTTGTGAATGCGTCTTTGGGGTTGACTGCTGGATGGAATGGACTTGGTCTGAGGACGGATTGGTTATTCAGAGCCATAAAGCATAGAACAACTGCATACATGTAATTTATATTAATCTGACAATAAAACTAAATGATTTAATTAAAAAAGAGGTAATTTTTTTATCCTTTTTTGCTTGAAGGATATTAATCCAGACCATTTCTAAAAAAAGGTATAAAAGGCCAAATGTAATACTGTATATACAAGGGGCAACCCTTTCAAAACTCAAAAAACCACAATTTAGGAAAGAAAAAAAAATAGGTTTTTCATCCATAGGGTTATAAACAAATGGAATTGCCCTACCTAACGAGGGCAAAATGCCAAGATATTACTGCAGTTCAAAACCCAGCTGGAAAAAAATCATGCACTAACTCAAATTTATTAAGTTTCTCATTTGGTACAATCCTTTAACCCCTAATTCAGGTTAAAAAAGATCAAAACCTAACATTCATTTAGATTACTTGGAGATTCGGTTACCCGACTCTGAATTATTGAACTCTTGTAAAATAATAAAAATATAAATAATTCACAAATTGGGTTACATTTCTCCTACCAGAGAAGTGCCAATTTAAAAAAAAATATTTCTGCACGCTATAATTTCTGGTAAAAAATTTGCATCACAAGCATTACAAATACCTGTACATTTCAAAACTCTTCAGATAATAAAATTAATTATTCAATACATAAGAATATCAGGATAATGTTAAGCAGTACAGTACTATAATCCTCTTGATTTCATCACTTGTATCACCCTAGTCGTTAAATCTGGGGATTCACCAAATCCCAAGGCCTTATAAAAATTTACAGACTATCACATTCAGGATAGCAACAGGTAAGCGACTATGTAAATAAGGCACCAGTTACTGATGCCAAATTTAGCCATTAGATCCATCAGAACAGAAAATCAGAGGTCCTAAAACATGCTAGCAAAGCTTTTAAGTATTTGTATTATCTCTTGAGAAAATTAGTCTACACAATTAACTTTTGTACTAGTGAAGCCTTCTTAAGCAGTTCATGTTGTCATTTGGCACAGTTAATGTATATAGATTAATTACAGAATTGGAGCTAGTAACTCTCCCTTTTTTTTTTAACAATGTTATTTAATCTCTCACCAGAGTAATGTTAAACCCACCAAAAACAATGAAGACAAAACAAAACAAAAAATAGCCATTTACCTGGAAAGATTTCCTGCAAATAAAGTGTGCCCAAATCTGCAGGAATGGAGTCAAAACCACAAGATCCAACAACATGCACTCCTTTTTCTTCAGCCTCCTTGGAGTAACGTAACTGCATTCTTTCCAAGTACTCAGGCTCCCCACTTATGTCCACATGGTTGGCTCCACCCTTGATGCATGCAGATACAACTTTTTCACCATAAAAACGATACTGTTGAAATAAAATATAGTTTTAACTGCTTATTAAAAACTTCAAGAAAAATGTCACTAACATTTATTTTCATTCCTTTCTCTGTCTAGATCCACAATCCTGATACTGTACTATATTACAAAGTTATAAAAAGGATTCATCTATAAAGCTTTTCAACACTGATCAATTAATGAAACAAAATTTAATACATATCTTAGGAAGTCAAGATTTGTTGATTGTTGTACCAGAAGGAAAACTGTTACATTTAATAAACTAAAGCAAGAACATTTGAATTAGCAAATGTAATTGGTCAAAAACTACTAGTAGAACCTGATCGACTAGGCTGTAACTTGTACATTAGGCTGCGAGCAACCACATCGAACAGCCTGGTTGATCAGACTACCAACCAGGAGGCCTGGTCAGAGACTAGCCTGCAGGGGATACTAATACTATTAAAATCTTAATATTAACTAAAATGGCATCCAAACCATAGTGCAACATAACCCCATTTCTACTAACCGGTCCAACACAATTTATGACGACCTTTGCTTGCTTCGCCATATTCAGAAGGCTTTCTTCATTGTTAACATCTACAATAAGACGTCCGACCTCCTGTAAATCAAGCTTTGTATTCACCTCTATCATCTTCAGTGTCTTTTCCAGCTTATCCTTGTTACGACCAGCAAAGGCATAACGCAACAAATCGGTTTTCAATGCAATATTGACCACCTGTAATATAAAGATCTTCAATAATACATACAACCCAAGTCCACAATTTTAAAGACAAAAGGAATTGTCAATAAACTAATTTAACATTTACCCAAGCAAAGAATTTTCATAATTTTAGTGTACTGACAGCGAACCTTCAATTCTTTGCAGCCAATACTGACAAATGGAGAAAGTCAAACAATATCATTTTACAAAAATGGAAACAGTGAAGGTTCTATAAACTAGACCAGTTTGGCCATATATATATTATAATAAACAAATCCAAATCTATAAATTGGACCAAAATCTTTTGAAAATTTTATACCACTTCAGATAATTTTTGAAAAAGTAAAGTTTTAGGGAAGAATGATTAGTTTAGCATGAATCTTCCAGTACTAGTATAGAGCTCTTTACAATGCACACACGCAGCCTTCAGAAACAATGTTGGAACCTTTTGAGACAGGAAGCCAGCAGCGTGTCAAGAGACCACTCAACGATGGTAGCCCTCAGGTAATCAGCTAACCATGAAATCACTAGTCTCATGACATCACAGCAGTCGCTGGCATCACAAATGGAGCTGAACTATTGTTTCATTATCAATCAGAACATTGATTCTGGCATAACCCAAGTCCAGTGCGTTATGCCAATCAGATCCATTGATTCTTTCATTATCAATATCGTAATTACTGTAACAGGAAAAGTCTTACCTCTTCAGCGACAAACTGCCCAGTGTATCCAGTGGCTCCGAGCACCACCAGATCATATTTCTCTTCTGCCATTGTTTTATTTAATTAAATCCTGAAAATGCATTATGTATAAGTGCAAATCAGAATTCAGACAAATATAGATACAAAATATATATACTGTACTGTACAGTAACTGTAAAAGTTAGATCTTAAAATATTTTTTATGGAAATGGTAAAATTGTTCTTAAAGTCTTTACAATATTTCTTTAACTACAAAATCCAGTACAGGTTATTTATCCACTTATATTAGAACTAATACCTGTACTGTACAGTGACACCTCGGCTTACGAGTGACCCTATTTATGAACTTTTCGGGTTACAAGCCCAATTTCTTCATAAAATTTGAATCGAGTTACGAGCTTTGCCTCGGGTAAAATACAGTAGTTTGTCAATATGCTTATGGGCGACCTAGCGCATGGTTCCTGGTGGCACGGTCGCCCGCACTTCAGTTTACCAGTGCCTCCCGATTAGTGACGATCGCCGTTGAATTCTTTGTAAAGAATTTAATTGTTTTTTGGTTTTTTGGGGTTTTGAACATAAAAGTAATTATTATATACCATGCCATGGGTCCCAAGAAAGTCAGTGGTAATGTTCAATCTAAGAAAACACATGTGAAGATGACCATAGAGCAAAAACAAGAGATCATTCATAAACATGAAAATGATACATGGGTTGTTGAACTAGTGAGGCAGTAAAACAAATCTTCAGGGGAGAAGGCAGTAGATGGATGTGCAGTATGGGAAGAACCACTATGTTTTGCTGAAAAGACTCACCCAGATAAAGTTTTAGCAGGCTGTTGCATTGACCTTATTAATGACAATATGATGTCTCACTACAGACAAGTGTTAAAATACAGTATAGGGAAAAAGTAGAGTGGCTGTCGAGAGCTGTCCACGGCTGAGTGGACAGTTCTCGGGATTCGTAGTCCTAAGGTTCCGGGTTCGATCCCCGGCAGAGGCGGAAACAAATTGGCAGAGTTTCTTTCACTCTGATGCCACTGTTTCCTAGCAGTAAATAGGTACCTGGGAGTTAAGACAGCTGCTACGGGCTGCTTCCTGGGGATGTGTAACAAAAAGGAGGCCTGATCAAGGACCGGGCCGCGGGGACGCTAAGCCCCGAAATAATCTCAAAGAAGATAACCCAGCCTACCAACACAAGCACTTTACAAATAGTTTAAATTTGTAAAATCTGACTGTACTTGTACGTCATGGAAAAGATCATCAGGGGCAAATGGGACGGGTGGAGGGGACTTTTGACAAGCCGCCGGCTTCCTGTCTAGAGTTAGTGGCCCTCAGGTAAATCACCTGTCTTCACCCTATATATAAGTCACTCGTGTTACTAGTACCTTTGCCCATCTCAAATACTGTATGTATGTTAAATCATCGGTCACCAAAAATATAAACTAAACAATATACTTCTAGTACTGTACTGACAAATTAAAAAAAATAAATACTTTATCAAGTACAGTATTAGTCCAGGATCAGAAGTTTATGCACTACATACAGTATATCCAAAGTACAATATTGTTTAGTTTTAATACGTACCGAGAGGCTTTTAAACTATGTTGCTGCGAAAGATTATCAACTAAGGTACTAAATACGACATAGGCCTAGGCTTAAATCAAAACGCTTTGACTACAGCCTACCATGGGACACTTTTTGATACAACCGTGCCAGGCCCAGCTTGTCCCTCAATGTACCAATAATAAGAGACTAGAGGAAGGGCGTGGCTCTCTGTTACCAGGGAGAGATATGACCTGCCCGGCCCCTTATCAGGCCTAGGCCGCTTATATTATCTCCACCTCCCTCCCTCTACCGCTAATGACAGCACATACACCCCACAACACAGCAACCTACCACCCTCACGCTACCCTTCGAGGGCTATATGACGGGGAAATAGCGATCAGTAGAGCGTCAAGGAGGGAATATGTGAAGGTGGGTGATGATGTTGGCACTTGCCTCGCCCAGCTGTGACTGCTGGAGGCTCAGGGCGGCACTGGCTACGGCTTCTTCCCCAGGATGGACGACGCTCTCCCCCGTCCTCTTTACTTATTATTAACTATTTATCGGCAGATTAAGCACTAATTACTTTTCAAAATGATCACTATATGCTTAAAGATTTATTGCAATTCGTGTTTTATATCCAGAGTGTTAATTCATATACGTGAAGATTAAACAATTAAGATAAAAATTTGTATAATTCGCTCAAATTCTAGCAATAATTAGCTGATTCATATATGAAAATAACAGAAAATATAAATGAATCTCACTCTATAACGCTATAATAATTGCCCAATGCAATTATAGATTTGATCTTAAATATGAGTTTTGTCGCTGTTTAGTTTGGGGAAAACAAGCCAAGTAGGCCTTTAAAGTCAAACGCAGATCTATGTTAGACCTGTTGTTTTTAACGCTACATATAATCAATTATTATTTGACAACAAAATTATAGCAAAAAATATAGTTATGAATTTTAATACTCAAAAGAATTTTAGTTCAATCATATGGATAAAAAATATATATGTATATATACATATACGTGTAAATCTAATCAGCTGATTTTTAATAAAAAAATTACAAATATATATTTATTAACATTTTAAAATGCACAAAATCATTTACTGAAGCATATATATGTTTTATAGTATTGTAAAATTAAAAAATAATAAGCTATATGCGTGGCGGGAAAGTGAGGAGGAAGAAGGTCGCCAGGCCGAGGCGTCGCCTTAGAAATTTCTTCTCTCCCAAAAATGGATGTCTTAAGACGGTCGGGCAAGGAAACCCGGTACGGAGGCAAGGAGATAATACCAGGAACCAAGTTTGGTCTCAAATACAACAGCGCCAGGAGACGTACTCAAGAGGTATGAGGTTTATTCTCGGGAGGTGTCTTGGATTTTAAACAGGCTATTTGGAAACTTAAATACCTCGTATGTCACCTAAATGCCTCGTATGTCACCTAAAATACCTCGTATGTCACCTAAATATCTCGTATGTCACCTAAATGCCTCGTATGTCACCTAAAATACCTCGTATGTCACCTAAATATCTCGTATGTCACCTAAATACCTCGTATGTCACCTTAATACCTCGTATGTCACCTAAATGGCTCGTATGTCACTTTAAATACCTCGTATGTCACCTAAATACCTCGTATGTCACTTAAATACCTCGTGAGTCACCTAAATACCTCGTATGTCACCTAAATACCTCGTATGTCACCTAAATGCTGACAAATTCTTAAAACTATATAATTACAGACATGGTTATAACTTTTTGTGATATCAGTAAAATAAAAAAAATACAGCATACTATAGTTGATATAGCCTACAAAACACAAAATATTAACTTATTGACCATTTTTATGATGTGCTTATATAGTTCCTAAATCCACTATTTGCTTCAGTAGGCCTATACTTTTTTGACAACAATGACGGATAGTTTTCATATTAGGCCTACGTGCTAAAATTGTTGAATCGCCTGAAGTTCTTTAGTAAGATGTATATTGTGGCGTAATATGCCGCCGAAAAGTAACCTAGCCTAATGTAATATACTAGGCTTAGGTAAAGTTTTAGTTATCATTATAACTAAAACTAATATGACCCGGTATATATTCCGCCGCGTGCAGTAAAGTGAGCAATTCATGTAGGCCTACATTCTAATCAAAGACTGTACCTAAATCAGACTTTAAATAAAGACTTTACCAAAGACGAGTCCTCGTCACGGCCCTTGTGGATTTGTTTACCTAAATAGTTTGTCATTAGTCTTTACCATTTATCATATACTTATTTACTTAAATGACAGTTCATTTGTTATGCAAACTCATACTGTGAGTGGTAGTAGAGAAGGTCACAGATACACAGGGGGCCAGACAGCTGAGCGGACAGCGCTTCGGATTCGTAGTCCTGTGGTTCCGGATTGATTTATTAAGATTAAGCTGATTTATTAGCCCCCACTAGCAAAATCTGGGTACAGCACAAGAATATCTTTCAATATTCCTGAGTGTATGGAGTTTTGTGCCCAAAACGCTATGCGTACTTGTGGCTTTAGGTATTGTATGTACTATCTCTATCTTTAAATCCAACATTATGTATGTACCTTTACCTGAATAAAAAATCTGATTCTAAATCTAAATCTAAGTAATTACAGAGCTCATACCATTTGGTCTGAAGGCACATATAACCGGGCAATCACAGATATAGTGTTGGAGAGTATGTAACAAGAGTTTTATGCTGCACATTTTTGTAATCTAGTTGACAATGAAGTAAATTGTTAATACAGTATGTTAGAATCTATGGTTCAGCATAATGGTACAGATTAAGCTCTATACTGTACATATTAATGTTTATTTGTGTATATGTAAATTGTTTTTGCATCATACTAAGTTAGCGACATATCTATTTATTATTATTATTATTATTATATAGACATTAACGCATAATTATTAAGATATTAACCATAATGCTTATTTGTCACTAGTATGTATAATATTACTGTGTGGGTTACTATTACAATATTATTATTATTGTTGCTGCTAAAACTATCTCAGATGCCCACCACGAGCGAGGAGAGGCGACCTCTGGCAGATATCGGCAACATTACCCATCTTAGCTCTCAGACTCACGCTAGCACCTACGAGGATGAATTTAGCAGATTCATCAAGGACCAGGATGAGGTAGAGGTAGAGGAGCAAGTTACGAAGGCTTCTAAAAACATCCTAAAGAAGAGGTATGATTTATCCTATACTGATTCAAGGCAAAAATCTGTATTTAAATTTTTTTGCAATCTAAATAGCTCGCCTTGTTAAAGGCGCCTTATAATACGACTTCGGGTATTATTTTTGTCAATATGCAATTAATTTTTATACTTGCGCACTATTTCTTTATTTGTACACACACATTTCTTTATTTTTTATGTCTATCTGGTAGCTGGTCTTTTCATATCATGTGAAATACATTAAAGTTTTTCATTGGTAAAATTTTCATGTTAAACTTTTTCTTAGTATAATTATTATATGTAAAGTTTTTACTAAATAACATTTCATATCAAGTTTTTCCTCTGTAAAATGTTCAACCGCTCATCTGGCTATATACCCTATACAGTATATCATTTTGTTCCTGAGCTCTTAAAATAATGCCTCGTACATTTGTTTGAAATATAAAATAAAATCTTCCTATGTCATAAATCACCAATATTGTATTTTTGTATGAATAATGTTGCAAATATACGCTCATGACGAAACCAGGAAAGAGTCTGCAAAATATTAGGGAATACATACAAGCCCTCCTGCAGGAAATATATAATTTTTCTAATGTTTTTTTTCTCGCAGACTGGAGATCACCGGCCTGCTCCACCCTGACGACTTGATACCAAGGCGGCGCAAGAAGGCTAAAGAAAAGAAAGTAGAAAAAACCCTTAAGAAAGGTAGGCCTACTCTTAATGACTATGATTCTTATAATAATAATGACCACGGTTCATCAAGTAGTTACGTAAGTATTTACGAACATCTTTTCTCGATCTCTGACGGCTTTGTTTACGTTTATTAATTAAACAGCTTCCGTGCATATAAACTTTCCAATCAAATGTTATTATTATTAAAAAAAAGTCTTAAATTAAATTTTATTAATTTTATTTCAGGAGTTGGGAGAGAAGAGGCTCGGGGTTGTGAGGTAGTATCCCAGGTGCGGAATAAGCAGCGCCTCATGTATGGGAATGATGAGGATGAGAATAGAGAATACTTAGAGCAGTGTCTTCAAGTCGCCGCCCACCACCACCACCCACTCTCCTTCGCCACCACCTCCCACCACCACCCACTCTACTCCACCACCACCTCCCACCACCCACGTCCCTACACCTCCACCCACTCTACTCCACCACCACCACCTCCCACCTACACCTCCACCCACCTCTCCCACCACCAACCCACCACCTGGTCGCCTCGACAGCACCTCTGTGGCTCCGCCGGACCCGCCATGTACCCGTTGCATCAGGTCTCTGGTTGGATTTGTCATATGAAAGTGAAGTAGTATAGTTGGCATAGCAACACTGCAACACAGTATACGTCAGTAAACACACGAAGGGCAGTGACGTTTAGGTGTACCTGTTGACGTAATTGACGTTTAAGTGTACCTGTTGACGTAATTGACATTTAGGTGTACCTGTTGACGTATTTAACGTTTAGGTGTACCCGTTGACGCGTAAAGGAGTTTTGGTCCTGTAGCGCCACAGTCTACGTCCTCGGTTTATAACCGACGAACCCCGGGTTCAATCCCCGGACAGGACAGAAACGGTTGGGCACGTTTCCTTCTACCTGCTGTCTCTTATCACCTAGCAATAAATAGGTACCCAGGAGTTGGCAACTGTTGTGGGAGTTGCATCTCGGGGAAGGTCTGTAATTGGTCTAAGAGATATGGATGATTGATAAAGATTAAGCCACACAAGAGATGGCACGGGCATGAATAGCCCGTAATAAGAGCTATAGGGACCTTAATAAGTATATACCGAATTCTTGTCCCTAATAACGGGGGATTGTATAGCTGTGACTGAGGTTTCATCCTCTCTATTGTTTTTGTAATGTCTTGGTAGAGCTTCGCCAGGCTTCAGCAACCATTTACGAAACCTGTATATCTTTCCTCAGTCGTGGTGGCTTCATTTGTATGTATTAAACAGTTGATGAGCTCGGTAGGGCTACGAGGATTGTCGATAACAATATTATTTACGGGCTATTTACGGGCCCGGCAAGGGATAACTGATCAACCAGGCTGTGGTTTATACGTCAGACTGCGAGCAGCAGCATCGAACAGCCTGATTGGCCAGACTACCATTCAGGGCCGCGGGGGACGTTGATCTTCTGAACCAACGCAAGGTAACATCAAGGTTGGAAAATTGAAATTGAAATAAGTTTATTGAGGTAAAATACACACAAAGGGATGAGGTAGCTCAAGCTATTCTCACCCCGTTCAGTACATCGTGTTAATACATACATATAAACACATCACAAACAATAAACATATTACCAAACATTCTTAGAGATAAACATCTACATTTCGTATCAAGGTTGGAGGGTAGAAATAGCCGCCTAAGCTACTATATCCCTTTGAAATGTATTTTATTGTCTCAATAAACGTACTTGAACTTTGAACATCAATGTATACCTGTCAATGATACAGGCTGCTCACAGCCTGATGCATGAATCACAAGTCCGGTCAACCAGGTATCCTTTGGAGGTGTAGTATACACTTCTGTTTTAAACACAGTGTAGGGTGGATAGTTATGCCCCCCCCCCCATTCCCCCTACGTGTAGAGGGAGAGTGTTGAGCAGTCTTAGGCCCCTTGATGTTGATAGAATTCTCTCATCGTGCCTTGGATAGTTTTTGTAAAACTACTTATGGTAAAGATGGTAATAATGAGTTTTGTAATCCACAGACGTCTGGTGCTTCTGCTACCCCATGGTATAGAGGTGAGGAGGTTTGTGCAGCGTCCTACAGGAGCTCGCTTGAAGCTCCATCGTCATCCAGAGGTGACTGTCACCTGCTGGCTGATGAATATAAGGGCGAGTGTGCCCTTAGTAGACTCGGCGGTGCTCGGGTACATGATACTGACCAGGAACCACACGGGGAAATTCAGCAAGGTTGGGCGCTCGATTCGTGTGAGCCTTTGATGTTGCATTGCAACTGCGGTACCTTCGGCGAGGGTTGCTCAGTCTGCTGCCTCCGTCCTCCACTCCCCGCTAACTTCAGCGGGGAGTGGAGAGCCTTGTCCACAATCACCCCCTGCTCGTATTCCCCTCACACTCTGGAACCTCCTCTTTCAGGCACCCGCACCCCTTTCTCAATGGAGAATTCCCATCCATACACCTGTTATGAGAAGCGTGTAGACTGTTCGTCCGTTTGTGCGCCCCAGTCAAATGAGTTTTTTCATAGACCGTCATGTTTAGCCTACAGCCGACAAGGTACGGATTTTAGCCACATCGTAAATAGCAGTCATTCTCTTCACAATTTAAATAACTCTCTCAGTGCTGCAGAATACACGAAGGAGATTTCAAACGAAATCAGCCACTCTGGATACGGGTCGTCTCTTGTGAGTGCCGCTGAAACAAAGTGGGTTAAATCTCAATCGCCAGGTTTTCCCGACACAGAAAAAAACATAAGCAACCCATTGAGGACATCATCGTCTGCGCTGAACTCACCTGGAAGCTCTGGTGACTTTGACGCAAGAATATGTAGAAAGAGGAGACCAGTGACGCCTTATCCTGACAGACTTGCACAGTTGGACCATGTGTGTACTTCGTGCAGACCCTCAAGCACCCACTCTCATCACGGCTGCACCACCAGCAGAGCACCTCCTGAATTGGATAATTTTATAGACTCAGTATACCAACACGACATAATGAGAGCTACAGAAAACCTACCAGCATGTGGTGAACAGAAATGCTGTGCTTCTCCTGACCTCTTCTCTTCCCAGGACGTAACCAGCCCCGCTCCGCCTTCACCGATTCTCCAGAGTGGATCCTCCCACGAGGGGAAGCACCAGAGGGCGTGCGACACGCCTCACCGCCGTGATTACCACACACTAAGGGAAAGTCAGGCCAACGCTAAACCTCCCCAGCAAGATGAGAGCAGACCCAGCACCCTGAACGATGATCACCTTCGTCCAGATTCCACAGACACAACAAATGAGTCAAATTTAAGATTCTCACCCAAAATATCTCTCACTTGTACTGAGGTAAGTGCATTTATTATTCAGATGTGTAATGCAAATGTATACAAACCTAACAAACATAAGAGCGAAGTAATACTGTAAAATTCAAGTATATGCATTAATAATAAATTATTTTGTTGTCCAGTTTATTGAGTGTAAATAGCTGAATCTAAAACAACAACGTCGTCATCTCATCATCTTCTGATGTATGGTTTAGTCATCATGAGCCACGTTACTGTGACTCATCGTCTGCCTTATCAATCATTATCTAAACAGACTTAAACCTAAGATTAGTTTTGGAACAGTACGCCGGCTGGGAGCTTGGTTAACTTCCCCGCACCCCCCATTGCAGGAATGCCAGATTGGGCTACTTGTAGCCTAATTGGGCTACAAGTAGCCTAATAAAAAAAATGCCAGATATGTATGTCGCTACTTACTACTTTCTCGGGTTTTTCTATCTACATCACTGGACCACGATGTGTTCCATTATCTTACGGGCCACGATGTGTTCCATTATCTTACGGGCCACGATGTGTTCCATTATCTTACGGGCCACGATGTGTTCCATTATCTTACGGGCCACGATGTGTTCCATTATCTTACGGGCCATGTGTTCCATTATCTTATTCATTCATGCCCGTGCCACCTCTTGGGTGGCTTAATCTTTATCAATCAATCTGTTCCATTATTAGCTATAAGGTGTGCGGCTAGGATGACTGAGGACGCAGGTTTGATCCCATCATACTGCTCCAAATAGTTTCTTAGAGATGTATCATGTTATTCTAATTTTATTGTGTAAACTAAACCTGATAAAACCATTTTAAACTAAATGTAAACAAACCTAATTTAATTAAAAGTAACCTGGTCTAATTAAACCTAAGATAACTTAATAAAAAACATAAAAATCAAAATTTACCTATGCAAACTGTGATCAAATTAAATCTAATCTACCCTGACTTAATCTAATTTAATTAAATCTAACCTAACCAAATTTTACCTAACTAAACCTAAGCTAACTAAATTTAACCTAACCAGACATAACCTAACCATATATAATCTAACCAAACTTTACCGCATCCCACTCAACCAAAGAAACTAAACCTAGCCTAACGTTGTTTTAGATTTAGTTACTCAGAACGAAGTGTCTGTGTAGCACGGGCTATGGTGAGCCCGTAACATAAATTCTAGCCTAACCTCACCTCACCACACCTAATAGTGGACACTAGTCCTGAATATCAAATGAAAGAACATTTGGTCATTTGACTGCTAAGTTCCTCCTCATTTCCTGTATATTCACCATCCATGGTAATCCGTCCAGCGGATGATTGTCCGCCGTAGTAGTTAGTCGTATAACTGTCGCTAGCAGGAAACGTATTATGCCTATTGAGGTCTCCGGGGCATTGAGTCGACCGACATTCCCCAGGATGTGCAACCCACAACTGTCGCCTAACTCTCAGGTGCCTATTTACTGCTGGGTGAACAGAGGCATCAAGTGGAATTACACTCGCGCCCAAAAAGTCTTGCGTGGGAATTTGAGTTTTATATCCAAGTATTTTTAACAAACTAAAGCGCCTAGTTTCCCCCCCCCCCTGGCTCCTTATCCACCCTAAAATTCAATCTCCAATTGTAGGCTCCTTATCCTCTCAGGATTCTGTATATCTTTCACAAATTATTTCCCCATTTAAAACTTATCTCCGATGAGACTTAAAATTTCCTTCCACCGAAAAAAATAAATCTTAAAACTCATAGTCACCTCCGAAAAATGCTTCTTAACTCATACAACTAGTGAGAGCCTAAATTTATCGGAGACTAAACTTCTAAAAAGAACATAAGGTTGATTGACTGCCGTGTCCCTCATTTCCTGTGTATTTAGCATCCAATTCGTCTAGCGAATTACCCTCGTCTCCTAAACCTAATGTGAAGTTTTGTATTGACAGGACTCGTACCTGGCCGGGGTGACTGGAATGGTGCGGGTGAGTACCGTTGAGGGCGAGATGGTGCTTAACCCCAGCAGCTGGAAACTGGCCCACACCTTCACCGATCTGCTGGGACGCAAGGTCAGTAACCTTCGCCTGCCGCCTCCACTTCCCAGTACCTTTCATAAGGGTGTGAGGGAGCGCGCGCTTCTCAAGGTCATTTACCCTAACTCGTCTTATTTCTTGTCAGACCTGTCAGGTACGGGGGACGGGTGTGTGTGTGTGTGTTTACTAGTTGTGTTTACTAGTTGTTTACGGGGGTTGAGCTTTGCTCTTTCGGCCTGCCTCTCAACTGTCAATCAACTGTTTACTAACTACTATTTTTTTTTTCACACACCACACACACACCCCAGGAAGCAGCCCGTGACAGCTGACTAACTCCCAGGTACCTATTTACTGCTAGGTAACAGAGGCATTCAGGGTGAAAGAAACTTTGCCCATTTGTTTCTGCCTCGTGCGGGAATCGAACCCGCGCCACAGAATTACGAATCCTGCGCGCTATCCACCAGGCTACGAGGCCCCCTGTAGCATGTCTTTGCACCTTTTCCAGTTTGTTGATGTGCTTCTTAAGATATGGGCACCACACAACAGCTGCATATTCTAGCTTTGGCCTAACAAAAGTCATGAACAATTTCTTTAGTATATCGCCATCCATGTATTTAAATGCAATTCTGAAGTTAGAAAGCATAGCATAGGCTCCTTGCACAATATTCTTTATGTGGTCCTCAGGTGATAGTTTTCTATCTAGAACCACTCCTAGATCTCTTTGTTTATCAGAATTCTTTAAAGATTTCTCACATAATATATAGGTTGTGTGGGGTCTATGTTCTCCTATTCCACATTCCATAACATGACATTTATTAACATTAAATTCCATTTGCCAAGTGGTGCTCCATATACTTATTTTGTCCAGGTCTTTTTGAAGGGCATGACAGTCATCTAAATTTCTTATCCTTCCTATTATCTTAGCATCATCAGCAAACATGTTCATATAATTCTGTATACCAACTGGTAGATCATTTATGTTGTGTGTGTGTGTGTGTGTGTGTGTGTGTGTGTGTGTGTACTCACCTAATTGTGCTTGCGGGGGTTGAGCTTTGGCTCTTTGGTCCCGCCTCTCAACTGTCAATCAACTGGTGTACAGATTCCTGAGCCTATTGGGCTCTATCATATCTACATTTGAAACTGTGTATAGAGTCAGCCTCCATACACAGTCCAATTTCTTCTGGTCCCTCCCTAAAAATGGGTCTGGGCCAAAAAATGACGTACAGTATTATAAATCGTAATGACTCGCAAAATTGACGTCATGTCCCGTTTTCTATTCCTACGTCCTTGGTTAAGTAGGTTTGGTCAATTTAGTACATCATTTTAGTGACGGTGTGAACGCTCGAGAAGATTTCATCAGCTACATATTTTTGTCCATATTGTCGCTGCACAAGTCTCACGTAGGTGATATACGATTCTCCGTGGGTATGTATAAGCGGGACTCCATGTTGGTGCCGCATATTGTAGTGCCAGTCTCACGAAGGTAATTCGAGTTTTCTAGGGCTATATACGAGAGCAGATGGAGTTGTCTTTGTGCAATGGGAATACTGAGTCTGGATATTATTTCCGGTACCAACATAAGTAAATATGTAATATGCGTATATAAGCGCGCGTATGGCAGAGCAATTACGGGCTATTCATGCCCGTGCTACCTCTTGGGTGGCTTAATCTTTATCAATCAAACAGAGCAAGACGTTGAGGCGAGACAGTGAGGGAGGCCAAGGAGCAGGTGCCAAGATAGATGATCACATAGCAACGGTTGGGTTGTTGTTGTTTAAGATTCGTTACTTGGAAAAAAATGTTCCAAGTAGCACGGGCTAAGGCGAGCCCGTAGAACGATTGGGGTCAATGTCCCCGTCCCTCTCGGTGGCAATTTAAGCATTAATTATTGTTATTACTTGGGACCGTGGCCGCATAGCAAACATATACCTGAGGTCAACTCTATACTGGAAGGAAAAGAAGGGACCTAAGCTGGCAGAAAACTGGTAAATTATTCTACAAGAGGACTCTGACACACCCAGCACGTCCTCACTATGTTCATTCCATCCAGCAATCGACCCTAAAGACGCATTCATAAATTTTAATATGCTGTTCATTCAAAATTTGAGTTTTCTCAAATATAATTTAATATTGGTATATATCAGCATACTCTGCATATTTTTATTTATGTTAGGTTAGGTGTTTAGATTCTGTTGGCGATTATTTGTATTTGTAGTACCTGGGTGAAGCATTGACAGCGTTGTGGTTCGAACAAAAGTCGTCAGCGAAGCACTTTTCGAACGTCATCACTAGTGAGTCGTGCGTAAACCGCTTTTCATTCATATACAGAGAGTTTGGCTGGTGCATGTAATCACTTTTGTATCTTTGTCTGGAGGACGGGCTACGTCTTCATAAAGAATGGCCAAAGTATATTCCATGCACCCGCCAAACCCCTTGTTTATGAACGGTTTACACACGACTCACAACTGATTATGTTCGAACACTTCTCGAACAAATGCTTCGCTGACGACTTTTGTTCGAACGACGACGCTGTAAATGCTTCACCCACGTACTACAAATACAAATATTCGCCAATAGAACCTAAACACCTAACCTAACCTACAGCAGACCTACACATAAAACTCTAATATATAATACTAACATTAGAGAAAATACCATTTTTTATTACATAAGACGTTAAAACTCTTCGGGGACGGCGTCAGCTTGGACGAGCATAACCCGAGGGTGAGATCGCCGGTTCGCGTTTCTACCTGTATTTTTTTGCCTTGGTGTCTGCCGCCCGCGAGTAGATGCACTTATCCGTCGGCACATCGCTCAGTCTTACAGTCCCGTTACAGATTCGGTATTATCAGTGCAACGCTCGGCTCTGTACCTGACTTGACTATGACATGCAACTGGCGCTTGGCATCGCCTAGCCCGGCTAAAACCCTGCCACGCTTTCCAGGTCTTTCTCGCCCGCCCACAGTCCACCCTTGTCTTGAAACCTTGCTTCTCATCCACCAACCCGTTTTCAGACCAAGTCCAGGACCCCAAAGACGCATTCATCAATTTTAACATGCTCTTCATTCAAAATAGGAATTTTCTCACATATAAATTAATGTTACATTTTAACATACTGTGTATATTTAGGCATTGGTTAGGTTAGGTTAGTTGTTTAGGTCCTGTTGGCGATTATTTATATTTGTAGTACGTGGGTGAAGCATTTACAGCGTTGTGGTTCGAACAGAAGTCGTCAGCGAAGCACTTGTTCCGGAACTGTTACTTTGGGTACGGGAGTACCTCTCAGAAAGGAGACCGAGGGTTATGGAGAGTGATCAGTGATTAGAGGTAATGAGTGGTTTAACAAAAAGATCTGTACTTTCTCCATCCTGCTCCTGATACTGACCAAGCAGGGGAAACAGGCTCATACATATTTGCGTTTGGCGATGATGCAAGGCTGATAAGAAGAATCCGTACAGAAAAGGACTGTAGTACAAAGCTTAATGAATTCGATACACTTCAGAAATTATATGAAAATGCCTACTGGACTTGCACTCCAAAAATTTAATTGTGAGAATTAGAATTGAAGTGAGAAGACCCCAGAAGCGGTACGGAATGAACGAAAAGGAAGTTTTCAAAATCACTAGAAATACAAAATCTAGCGTCTGAGGCACACATTAGAAAAATAACGTTATCGGCGTATAACAAACGGTCAAGCGTCCAGATACCTTTTATAAGCTTGAAGGATGATCCGAACACTATTTACACCTTTACGTGAACCTTTGCTTGAAAAAAAGGCAAAACAAAATTAGAAAAGGTCCCGAGATAAGCAACAAGACTCGCTGTTCAGCTTCGGGGAAAACTAAGGGAAATAAGAATAAAGAAAAGAGGGGACATAATCACAATACATAAAATTTTATGAGGTGTTGCCAAGTAGACAAAAACAAAATGTACAAAGTGATTCACAGGAAGAGACACAGATGGAACTAGAGACTCACATAAGTTATAAAATGTAAAAAAAGAACCTCTTCAGTGCAATGGTTTAGAAGAGGTTGAAATTAACTGAATACACATATATATATATATATATATATATATATATATATATATATATATATATATATATATATATATATATATATATATATAATGAAAATATAAAGTAGAGGAGAGGCGAGCATAACTTCATTAAACGACTAAGCGTTCAAAAAGAGTCCTTGGACTAAGCTAGCATAGGTTTAGTGAAGCCTAGGACCAAGCTACCGTCAGTTTGAAGAGTTTCTGCCTAAGTTTGTCCTCAAAACACTAGCTACATTCTGAACTCAATAAAAATATTAACTAAGAAACGAGTTATCAAGTGGTTCTTGTGACCGGCCGATGAACTTGGCAAAGGTGGCGTTTCCAGACTACGAGACAATATCTGGTTCTGAGACCTCGGTGGGCGCCACCACCCCTACCACTTCCCGAGGCAGAGGTTGCTAAGGCTCTGCTTAAGACCAGTTGGGTGCCAAGGTCCCCATTCCACAAGGTATTTCCAGTTGTGTCTAAAACATACGTAATTTAGTAGCAAATAAATAAAAAACAGTGTTCAGAGTGCTATAAATTATAACATATATATATATATATATATATATATATATATATATATATATATATATATATATATATATATATATATATATATATTCATATTGAATGGTCAATTTTTTTTATTTTTGTAATTTGCATTAAAGCAGATTCAATACTGTTTCTGTTGAAAATAATGACATATATATATATATATATATATATATATATATATATATATATATATATATATATATATATATATATATATATATATATATATATATATATATATTCATATTAAATTTGCATTAAAGCAGATTCAATACTGTTTCTGTTGAAAATAATGTTATTTTTTTTATTGAAGAAGACCTCTCCCAATCAATTTTATGAGAATTTTCTAACAAATGAACAAATAAAGCATTAAATAACTGACCACTTTTTACAGAATATCTATACTGCGAAATTCGAAATTTAAAATATTTAGACGTTTGACCATATAGAATGTATCACAATCTTTTACAATGCTAACCAGCACATAGGCATTTCCTTCTGTCTTCAATAGACAGAACGTAGGGTGTTAGGCTTTATTTTAACCAGTGATTTATTGACAGTGTTTGTGTGCATGATGGTAATACTACTGCTAATATTAATACTGCTGCATTTCTAACATCAATAGAATACTGAATCATTGCTGATTCTGCCTATTTTCTATAGGCCCAGCTCGTCTCCAGTGACCTCTTGGACCCAGGAGTCAACGACATCGGCCGCCCTCATCGCGTGGTCACGTCAGAGGAACTTGTCCAGCTCATTTCTCACGCCTCTACTTGAACACCCATCCACACCTCCACATACACCCACCCATACCTTCACATATCACCCACCCCACCACGTACCACCCACCCACACCTCTACATATCACCCAATTCCCAGCTTCACATACCACCCACCCACACATTCACACACCAGCTTCCCACACCTCCGCAGGCCATCCACCCACAGCACACATGCCTGTAACTCCACGTGCTGTGTCACACAGCCTGTGTGGGCTGCCACCTAACAGGTGAATGACCCACACCTCCAAGTAAACAACCACACTTCAAACCTGAACACCCACCTGTTCCCCCACATGCTGCATGTTTGCCATCTTGTGCGGGCCCAAACCTCTTATACCGCTTGATGAATGGCCTGTAGACCTACTTACTGTACACCTCATCCGGAACACTAACCAATACCTCCAAGGGTTCTATGTTAACTACGCTAACTGAGCCAGCCTATCTGCTTGCCATGATCCACAGTCATGAGAATTGGCCATGAGGACCATGAGAACTGTAGTTGATAGACGACACTAATACGTGTCGTCTGTCAACACAACAATACGTCTATCGACACCAGTACACAGGTTATCATATACTGCATCAGTCTGCCTACACAGATACACAGCAATAGCCCAAAAATAGGTGAGCATATGCTGCAGCAATAGGTCTGCATAGTAACAAGCTGGTTACCTTTATACAATTTTATCTTTCCTTAGAGCGAATTCCAATAATATATTTTATCAGGATATTCATGTGATATTCCTTTCGTTGGAGAATTACTAGTGACATAGTTATCAAATAATTTATAATTTTCTCGTGGAATTTATATTTGCACACGGATTTAGGCTTAATTTGTCACAAAATTCATCTTTACATAAACATTGGTGAGAATATTTCAGTTGGTGATACATAATTTATTATCTCGAGTGTCTGACGTAGCCTAGGTATGCAAACAATTTGTATAAATTCTTATTCAAGTTCAAGTATGTTTATTGAGATAAGAAAGAAATACATCTCAAAGGGTTAGAGTAGCTTAGGCTATTTCTACCCCCCTTAATTCTTATTTACTTGAGCTCAAAGTTGTTAGCTTTTTTTTGTTTTTGTGATTCAAACTGTTTTTAGCTTTTTTTTTGTTTTTGTTTTTGTGATTCAAACTGTTTTTAATATTACCTTTGCTTATTTACTTAATCTTGGACCTTCACTTTTTTCGCTTTTATGTAATACAGAAAATATATATATAGATTCATACCTAAAAAGTCTTAATTGCTATCCTGTGGAGAGGAGTGTATGGAGCTCATTAGGATACCAGGTACAGGAAGTAATTGGAGGAACAAGGGCAATGATTACATTATTATTTTCCGATGTCCTACACCCACCTATGTACAAAGGAGGGTCGAACTTAAAGATAAAAAGTAAAAAGAAAAAAAGTAGACGGTAAACGAGACTACTGTAATTAAATAACTAACATTTCAAAATGAGAACAGTTGCTTCAGGTTATCAAATTTACCAACAATTTGAACGAAATATTGTTACTGTTTTGCTGGTTACATTTTTTATCATTATTAACATGGTAAATATGCTCTTGTGTAGCTATGTGAAGAGTCACAGTTTGTCAAGAAGTACACAAACTTCCCACCTAGAAGTTCGCCTTCAAGAGCAAGGATATCCTTGGTGGCGAAGTTCTAGGTGGGATGTTTGTATTCACCTAGTTGTGTTTGCGGGGGTTGAGCTTTGCTCTTTCGGCCCGCCTCTCAACTGTTAATCAACTGTTTACTATTTTTTTTTCCCACACCACACACACACACACACACACACATCCCAGGAAGCAGCCCGTGACAGCTGACTAACTCCAAGGTACCTATTTACTGCTAGGTAACAGGGGCATTCAGGGTGAAAGAAACTTTGCCCATTTGTTTCTTTGCCCGCGCCACAGAATTACGAGTCCTGCGCGCTATCCACCAGGCTACCAGGCCCCTGCCCTACCAGGCAAACCAGGCTACCAGTTTGTGTTAGTGGTACCCCGCTCCTATTGGGTACCAGTACCTGATCAGACCCAACGGTGCTGAACCGACAGCCCGTGTGATGCGTAAATCATCAACTGTTTCACGCCTCTGTGCGCTTAATAACTCGTTCGAATAAATACACTTGTACCCATCACTGATAATCAGAAACCCTGGCGTGGATCCGAAAACGGGATGAAATCTCGTCGATAGCGCAAATAAATACGCTATATACCGCCAAAACAGTTTCGCGGTAACTGATGATTAGACATTGAAGGTTCCGTTCTCTACTCGCAATTGGGGGATCCCGGGTTTGATTCCCGGGCGGGACAGAAATGGTTGGGCATATTTCCTTTTCCCCTAATGTTCAGCTAGCAGTAATTAGACATCTGGGAGTTGGGGTTGTATCTTGGAGAGGGTCAGTAGTTTGACCTTGGGAGGGGGGACCTTGATACAAGCCTCAAATATATATATATACACACACAGGCTTCCTGTCCCCCAAGTGGAAAATAATATGCCCGCCGCGGTATATTAAACAACGACAAACAAATGATGTAGGGTGGTGTATCCTGCTTCTCGGTGAATACTTTAGTCTTCAACTATGTCCCGGATTAAGGTATACTTTGCGGGCTAGTCAGAACGCCTTTATATTATACATTATTTAATATAGAAAACAAAAAAGCACGCTATTGTCGTGACTTAATAGCCTTGCAGAGGTTGATAGGCATTGAGCCAAGTATACCAATTGAAATTGAAATTGAAATAAGTTTATTGAGGTAAAATACACACAAAGGGATGAGGTAGCTCAAGCTATTCTCACCCCGTTCAATATATCGTGTTAATACATACATATAAACACATCACAAACAATAAACATATTACCAAACATTCTGAGAGATAAACATCTACATTTCCTAGTATACCAATAATCAATCCTTCCTGTCATCAACCAATGATGACAGGAACTGTGTGTAGGCTGGACCTCTCTCGCCTCATGAGAGCACACAACCGACCCCAGCTTATTACCTGAAAACTATTATATACACCATTTTCTACATCAAGGCCCATAAATGTGAAATTAAATATGTTTAAAATGTGTTTCAGTGTTATTAGATGAATATAGCTATGTACTAAAATCTGAAATTATAGAAAAAATGCGTTTAGATATATTTTTGTATATAGATATGTATAGAAGACATCTTCTAACTCACGTTGGAACGCTTTCCGCCTTCCCTTCCTACACCTCATCTGACGCCTCATGTGTAACTTAACATGTGAGAGTATGCATGACCACTTGGCTAAAATAACAATTAAAGTTCCCGAAATAGCAGGGCGAAAAACTCGTTAGAAGAACTAAGGATTCCATATAAATATGTATAACAGGACTCCAGTGTAAACGGCACGTAGGGTGCGCGTGTGTGTGAGAGAGAGAGAGAGAGAGAGAGGCTATTTTTCATAGTATCCCTTATTTTGCTCGTTGGAGATCATGGCGTCAGAATACGACGTATTATTTGTGAGAACCGGTTCCGTTGTGTGTATAGAGGGTGAGATGATGACAGATGATATACACTGGAGCGATGGTGCTATAGTGGTTGGTGGCCAGCTGCTCCTCTCAAGCGTTCACAACGTCACTAAACTGATGTACTAAATGGTCCGAAGCTAATCTAACCGAAGACCCCCGAATAGAAAACGGGACATCGCGTCAATTTATGCAAGCCGCTGTGATGTTTAGTACACCAGTTTTTGGCCTTAGGGGGGTATTTATACGCCAAAATACCATGTGGTATTCGAGAGGACGGTGGTAGCGTCAACATGACAGGTTAATACTGACATGACTGACATTAAAACATGACATGACCGCAGGACCAACCACAATCATCTGATGCAGGAATGAGGGAAGAGGGGGTCGTGCAGCATGATAATCATAGTTTTTTTTATTTATAAATACAAGAGTTCTTACATTCTTGTACAGCCACCAGCACGCATAGCGTCTCGGGCAAGTCCTTAATCTTAATTTACCCCCGGAATACGTCTCGCCAAATCGTTTAACAACCAAGTGCCCATTCACGGTTGGGTGAACAGAGGCTACAGTTAAATGATTGGCGCCCACTAAATCCTCCCCAGCTAGGATACGAACCCAGGCCAAAGCGCTCGCGAAACGCCAGGCGAGTGCGTTACCACTTAGCCACAGGAGTGGTGGTGGTGGTAGAAGTGTGGCGAATTGTGCATGTTCCCCCACCAACCCCTCCGGCAGGTGTGCGCCACAACACCCAGCTAACCTGCCAGGTGAATGACCTTCACCGTCTGAATGCTTCACTTCCAGTCCACTCCCTATCTACCCTCCCCTCATCTCCCCTACCCTACCCTGCCCTACCCTACCCTACCCTACCCAACCAATCCAATCCCTGCCCTACTCTACCTTATCCAGCACTATGTTACCTAACCCTACCAAACATTGCTTAATTCAACCCTATTTGAATTCAACCCTATCCAGGCTCCACCGCTTCGGAAACAAGTCGTCCTCTCTAATAATACATCGCATTTCGACGTATAACTTCCCTAAGGCCAAAAAATAATGTACTAAATATCATAAAGGCTCGCAAAATTGCCGTGATGTCCCGTTTTCTATACGTAAGTCTTCAGTTAGATTAGGTTTGGGCAATTTAGTTCATCAGTTTAGTGACGCTTTGGAAGCCTTAAGAGGACGGACTACTGGAAATGCTAGCCACATGCCGGGAACGATACCATTGATAAATGATAAAAGATAAAATGTTCCTTGACTACATAATAGTGACTGAGAATAACTACTCGACAGTTATCTGAATATAACGAGTCCATTAACTTCCTTAGCTTCAAATATGGCATTACCATGATACTTCCTTGGGAGTACCTGGGCTCCCTAGTCATGTAAGGACCTATGGGAATGAACTTGTAAACAAACTAGCCGTAGAGGGAACGCGTAATGAGACCAGGAGCACTCAACTACAATACAAATAAAGTGAAGAGTTTTACCAACTACAATACAAATAAAGTGAAGAGTTTTACCAACTACAATACAAATAAAGTGAAGAGTTTTACCAACTACAATACAAATAAAGTGAAGAGTTTTACCAACTACAATACAAATAAAGTGAAGAGTTTTACCAACTACAATACAAATAAAGTGAAGAGTTTTACCAACTACAATACAAATAAAGTGAAGAGTTTTACCAACTACAATACAAATAAAGTGAAGAGTTTTACGCACATATGCAGCCCTCGCTAATACATCGTCTGCTGCACGGTATAGCAATGTTACCGGGGTACAGACCACACTTTCTGTACAGACACCACCATGGCTGAAGAACGGAGAGACACCACCATGGCTGAAGAACGAATAACATGGACTGTGACAGGCTATCAATTTCTCGAGACATTGAAATCAACACAGAAGAAACAATTGCAAATTATTTATACCCCTCCAAAAAAATCTCAATCACTACTTGCTCAACTGTACTATCCCCCTGTGCCAAATACACAACAAATTTCCTTCATTGGATTATTTTTTAACTTTGATCCCAGCACCAAATTAAGAGAGGTGGACCAAGGGCAACAGCAGAGCGAATTTAGGTTTGTCTAGGGTTCAAACCTAAACTTTGTTCTAGAGGTCACTGCCGCCACCACAACTCCCGCCCTGCCTTGATATGTACACACACACACACACACACACACACACACACACACACACACACACACACAGCCCACACACACACACGTGTGTGTGTGTGTGTGTGTGTGTAAATGGAGGCACTACATAAGCAGCTGGGCCAGGATTCTTCAAGCATTTATGCATCCACTTACGAAGCCTGTACATCATTCAACAATCATGACGGTTCTGTTTACATACACTAAACACTGGAGAGTGGCGATGTGTTGGTGAGAGGTCCCAGCAACACGGAAGGACCCACTGACCCGTGCTACCGCTACATTCCGTTATGACCCACCACCTAGACACATTGTGGTGGGTCACTTTGGTCCCCGCCTCAGTTGAGAGGCGGGACCAAAGAGCCAGAGCTCAACCCCCGCAAGCACAATTAGGTGAATTAGGTGAGTACCTGCCCTACACACTGTATATGATTAAATAAAACACAATGTTTATCATTAAAAAAATCACAATGACGTTAAAAACCTGTACAAAATAATTACGGTAAAAT